GATACCCCATGCCCAGTTGGAAATCTTCTTAGAACTGGACTACTAATAACCTACCTTGGTTAGTATGAGATCATTATGCCACACCACACAGCTTTGCAGGAGGCATCCATAATCGTATGTCGAACACAAGCAATCTCTGCTGAATTTTCGACCCCAAATTCCATATCTACAGCCTGGTACAGACTGTAGATTATCTCAAGAATACGAGTTGAGAGAATTTCCCCTTGAATTGACATTGAAGGTGTAACTAAGAGGAAGCTTGCTTGTAAAGGAGCAAGTCGGGCTCGGATGCGGTGAGGTGCTGATTGGCCGGTTGGCGGCAGCCGCAAAGGCCACCGTACACCATCCACCATCCACCATCCACAGGTCCGGTCCACCGGTCACTTACCAACTCGACTCTACCTAATTACGCTGCGGCTCTGACTTGAACGCAACTCACCACCTCTCTTCTCCTGGTTGCATTTCCCTCTTTCTCGCCGGAGTCTCACATCTACGTGTTCTCCTGCTTGACTCTCAGAGCCTCTCCAACCCGTGCGGTTTGGTGAATCTATCCCCCGGTCATTGGTACCCAGTCGCTCTCCGCTCCCCTCCCTAAACTCTCCCACCTGTTTCGAATTGTCGACTAACCATCGCCCCTTGGCCCAGTGACCTTGCAACGATTCACAAACCATCCCGCACAACTTCCACTACAACCGTCTACAGTCATAACTCACAGCCGACCTCCATGGCAGCACCACAAGGGGGTTATCCTCCCCAAGAAGGGTACGGTCAGCCTGTCGGTTACGGAACTCCCGAACAACAACCGCCCGCGGGGCAAGGCCAGGCTGGCGCACGAAAGAAGAGACAATATGCAGGCGAAGCCTTCGACTTCGGCTCCGGCGCCAATGCTGCCTTAGGAGGCCAGTTACCGGCCGGTGGTAGCTATGGTGCGTACCCGGCGCAAGCTCCAGCGGCTGCGGGATACCAGCAACCCGCCTACGCAGACCCTACCCAGATGCACGCCGCTGCCCCAACTTACGGGGCGCCCGCCTCCCCGCCGGTCGCACAGATGACCCAGCAGTTCGGTGCTATGGGAGTCACCGATCCACACTTGATGCCGCCGCAGCCCGTGGCTCAAGCCCCCCAGGCTCCGCGGGCAGTCCCTCTCAACCAGCTCTATCCTACAGACCTCCTCACTCAGCCGTTCAACGTTGCCGAACTCGACTACCCCCCGCCTCCTATCGTTCTCCCGCCGGGTGTAAGTGCCCCTGGCCGTTCTCCATAACACGGACGGAAACGCTAACTTCGCTCATTAGACCAGCGTTTACCCCTCTCCCTATGCCAATTGCCCCCCGAAATACGTTCGCTCCACATTGAATGCGGTTCCTACGACACACTCGCTCCTGAAGAAGTCCAAGCTGCCCTTCGCGCTTGTCATCCAGCCATATGCAGCGCTGCACGACTCCGAAGATCCCATCCCAGTCATTCCCGATCAGGTCATCTCCCGTTGCCGACGCTGCCGCTCTTATATCAATCCCTTCGTCACATTCCTCGACCATGGACACCGCTGGCGTTGTAACATGTGCAACCTGACTAATGACGTACCTCAAGCCTTTGATTGGGATACTGCTCTTCAAAAGCCTGCAGACCGGTCGCTGAGGGCTGATCTCAACCATTCGGTCGTGGAATTTGTTGCCCCTCAGGAGTACATGGTTCGCCCTCCTCAGCCGCTAGTTTATCTGTTCTTGATTGATGTCAGCTATGCTTCGGTCACCAATGGTCTGCTCGCGACAAGCGCACGGTGCATTAAGGAAAGTCTCGATCGGATCCCGAACGCCGACCGTCGCACCCGACTCGGCTTCGTCGCGGTAGACTCCAGCCTTCACTACTTCAGCATCCCTCGGGATGGGTCGGACAACTCTGACCCTAGAATGCTGGTTGTTAGTGACCTGGACGAGCCTTTCTTGCCCATTCCGGGTGATCTTCTGGTGACTTTGAGCGAATGCCGGGAGAACATCGAGTCGTTCCTCGACAAGCTGCAAGAGATGTTCCAGAACACCCAGAGCAACGGCTGTGCCATGGGGTCCGCTCTGCGCGCTGGTTACAAACTGATCTCTCCTGTGGGCGGTAAGATGACCGTTCTCAGTTCTTCTCTGCCTAATATCGGCCACGGCTCTCTCACCATGAGAGAAGACAAGAAGGTTCTTGGCACCAGCAAGGAGAATGCGCTCCTGCAAACAGCGAACAGCTTCTATAAGAGCTTCGCCGTGGAATGCTCCAAGGCACAGGTCTCTGTCGACATGTTCTTGTTCTCCTCTCAATACCAGGACGTTGCGTCTCTCAGCAATCTGCCCCGGTACACGGGTGGACAAACGTACTTCTATCCGGGCTGGAACGCCGCTCGCCCAGAAGATGCGATCAAGTTCGCCCGCGAGTTCTCCGAGTACCTCTCATCTGAGATTGGCCTGGAGGCTGTACTCCGTGTCCGCGCTACCACCGGCCTCCGCATGAACACTTTCTACGGAAACTTCTTCAACCGCAGTTCCGATCTCTGCGCTTTCCCCGCCTTCCCCCGCGACCAAGCTTATGTGGTTGAGGTTGCCATCGACGAGACAGTCACGAAACCTGTGGTCTGCTTGCAGACCGCCGTCCTTCACACCACTTGCAACGGCGAGAGAAGAATCCGTGTTTTGACTCTGGCGCTTCCAACCACTCAGAATCTGGCCGACGTCTTCGCCTCGGCGGACCAACAAGCAGTCGCAACCTACTTCAGCCACAAGGCCGTCGAGCGGGCTCTGGGAAGCGGTCTGGAACCTGCCCGGGACGCCCTCCAGGCCAAGGCAGTGGAGTTGCTCTCCACCTACCGGAAGGAATTGGCCGGTGGAAGTGTGAGCGGCGGTGGTCTCCAGTTCCCTGCTAACCTGAGAGCACTCCCCGTTCTTTTCCTTGCCATGATGAAGAATGTAAGTTTTTTTTCTTGTGCCTACTCAGTTTCCCGTCAGCATCTAATTCTCGATTAGCTCGGTCTTCGCAAATCTGCCCAGATCCCCACCGATATGCGCTCTGCGGCTCTCTGCATGCTCTCTACGCTTCCCCTTCCCCTTCTCATCCAGTACATCTACCCGAGGATGTATTCCCTCCACGACATGCCTGACAACGCTGGGCTGCCCGATGAGCAGACTGGCGAAATCGTCCTCCCTCCTCCAGTCAACCTGTCGTCTGAGCGGGTGGTTCCGTATGGCCTCTACCTCATCGATGATGGTCAGACGCAGTTCCTGTGGGTTGGACGTGATGCGGTGCCTCAGCTGATCGAGGATGTGTTTGGGTTGGCGGACCGATCGCAGCTCCGGGTGGGCAAGCAGAACCTGCCGGACTTGGACAACGAGTTCAGCCAGCGGGTGCGTGCGGTGATCGAGAAGAGCCGGGACCACCGGTCGAAGGGGGTGGGCAGCATTGTGGTGCCGCACCTGTATGTGGTCAAGGAAGACGGCGAACCGGGTCTCCGCTTATGGGCGCAGACGATGTTGGTGGAAGACCGTGCGGACCAAAGCGTCAGTCTGGTGCAATGGATGGGCTCGTTGCGGGAAAAGGTTTGATTGCTCCGTTTCCTAAGCGCCTTTGCCTCTGCCAGTTGATCTATTACCCTTTCTGCCGTCATCGACATACGAGTCTATACTTGGAGTCACGCAGACTGACGAGGCTTTCGAACACACCTACAGGTTGTTCAATAATGATAGTTTCTCCCTTGCTGGTAAATCATTTCCACAGATACATCAATACAATTTCCGTGATTATGTCAAGATCTTATTTCCCCCCTCTCTTCTGCTTTCTCTTCAGCGCTCGCTCGGGTGGTGGACTCGATTGGCGGGGTTATTTTTCATTGGGTTGAGTGATGTGCCGGCAACAAGAAAATACAAAAGTTCAGTGGAGCTTGTGGTTAGTGTTGGGCGTGTTGGGTGTTGTGTACATGGATCCGACGCCTCTTTCGGCATATCGAGCCATGTGCTCGCTAATCAAGTACGCCCGCGTGGGCGGTGAAGCTATGCATTGTCCAGCATTCTGTAGGCTTGTTTATTGTTGTCTACAGATTGTTTCATCGGGATGGTCACAATGCTAACTTCACCAACCATCCCGATAACCGCTAAATACGAGTGTGTGATCCGAGGCTCTGACATGGGTACGAGCTTGGTGGTTGGTTGGTTGGTTGGTGAATAGTGTTAACCTTGGGCGAGTGAGGGCGTTTGGGCTGCATGGGCCCTGAGTAACTTCAGTAAGCCTGTGGTCAGTGGTCAAGTCAGCCCATGCACGGTAAGCTTTAGATCACACAACTGCCAGAGCTGGCTGCAAGTTGACGGACGGTCCATCACATTCGAGCCTCCGAGCCAACTGCAGCTAAGTTAACGGATCCTCTCCGGGATGATGATGAAGGGGGGGAGGGGGGAGAGTAAGTGATGGGCCGACTTTGATTTGAAGCTGCTCATTAGGTGAATGGGGGTTGTGATCAAGTCGAGTAGCACACAGTAGTTTCGTTTCTGGTCGACCGGTACGGAAGAAGAGCACTGCACTGCACTGCCCCTCCTCCTCTCCTGGAAGAAAAGTAATAAGACGAGCGTACTAATCTATCCGTGCGGCGAGGCCAGGGTGATGGATGGATCATGGACACAGTACGGAGAGTAGGCAAAGAGCAAGCAGATCCCTGGGTCCAGGGAAAGAGTGGGGGGGATTTGACCTGGGAATTCATCGACTAAGCCGGTTTGAGTAGCGCTGGGTGGGCCAGGGAGGGAGTCTGAGAGACGGTGAAACTGCCAGAGATTGGCGCCCGTGGCGGGTTTTGGGACTGGAAGGGGAGGGAATTGCGTCTCGTCACTCTCGTGGGGGAATTGAAACACTGGTCCAGACGTGGTTTCTTGGGGATTGACAGTTGCCATGAGATGACAGGATGGAAAGAGGAGCTCGTCAGGAAGCTTGGAAGTTGGAACTGAGACGGGCTTTTCTTCGGGTCACATTTTCTACTCCGTAGTGTGTGTGTGGCTGTCTGTGTCTTTTGGTTGCTGGTTCATTGCTTGATCTCTCGCGCTCCCCACACAAATGGAGGTTTTCAGACCGGGCTTTATTGAGGGGGTGATTGCATTGTCTGCTTGGGGTTATTGCAGAGTCACTTCAGGCTGCAGTTGGATAGTGGCTAAGTGGCTGTATCCGCTGTGAGATGATGCTGGTTTGTGATTGATGAGATAATTTGTGCGGATTTGATCCTTGGGAGTCTTTGAGCAAGAGACAGACTTGATGGTGTTGACATACTGAGTAGATATAATGCTGGCAGCATTTCTGGATCAGGAACCAAAACCACCCAAACCCCCTCCTCCCATCCCCAACCGTACCACAGAGACTCCCCCCGGTGGTGATTTCCACTGCAGCGGCCCCTCCGTCTCTTCAACCAAGGTTCTTCTTTCATCGGGGTTCATTATTATTCTTATTATTTTGAAGAAGTGTCGTTAGTTGGAACAGACTATTGTTGTCAGTGCCAGTCACCTCCTACTGACTATCTTTATCCTCCTCAACTGTCCATGGTCTTATCTGCTGCCTCCCTCCGTATCGATAACTGACCTTCCCCTCCCCCCCATTTATTATTGCTCCACGGCGATTCAGGTACACAACTTCCCACTTTCCACTTCCCACTTCCCACACACACGCTCTCTCTTCTCCCCCCTCCTCTTCTTCCTCGGTTCCTCTTTTCCGCTGAACTCTCTTTATCCTATTCAGAGGTTTTCTTCTCCTCTACTTTCCTATTATTAGGAATCTCACCCTGCCCTCCAGTTCTGTTCGGCCTGTTGCTTCAAGGTGAGATCGAGTTCTTTCATCTTCAACAGCCTCCCTGTCTCCCCACTTTGCGGGTGATTAACTTTCCCACTACGGACACTAGTTCCCCTCCACGACTGCCACTATTTGCTCTGCTCTCACTCTCTCACTCTCTCTCCAAGACTTCCAACCCCTCCACAACCACCGCCAACTGCTAGTCTGTCCGTCGTTCGTTACCTTCCCTCGCCTGCTCTTACTTCCTACTCCTAGTCATTCCACCCCCCCCATCCACTATCCCACTATCCTACTCCCCCCCTCTACCCCCTTCTCCGTCGAAACGCCTTGGGTTGGTTTCCCTCTTATTTTTGTTGCTTCACGTGTATCTTAGCCAAAAGAAACTCGAAACTGACCACTGTCGTCGATCTAGGAACTAGGACAGAAGACACCTGGAAGACAGACCGTCCCAAAAATAGAAACCGGCCTGTGAGACACCCAGCACCAGTAACCCAATTCTCTCCTCACGACTGGTAAGCTTCTCCTTTTTCTCTCGCCCTCTTAATCCTCTACAAGAAACCTTTAATAGGGCCCAATCTTCAGCCCTTTTGGTCGCTGTTGTGGATAATTGACAAGTTCGTCTTTTTGTGGTCCAGATCGTCATCAGTGACGTGGATCGATCTAAGCGCCGTGTGAGCAATTTATTTGTTCCTTTCATCGCCATCTGCGCCCCTGGATCGTGATCCTACCTGGAGTTCCTTCGCCTTTTCCTTTCCAAAACAAACGCTACTCCCGAACTTCTGCAGACCAACGTGCGTGCGTCTTCCTTTTCCGGTTCGATTGCAGACACGCGCTGTACCCGGCTCCCGATTTTCCACGGTTCCCCGACAACGGTCACTCGTCCAGCGCATACACCCTGGCATGCGGATTTTGTTGTAATTAGGCTCCAACTGCGCTCCAACCCAGCTCCTTCTGGTAAGCGCTACGCCATGTGTTTGTTGCTTGAATGTGTGATGGGCCTTAAGCGTGATCTCGTGGGCGACCCGCTACTTGTCTGCATGTGACGAACTGTGCCCACCATCAGTGCGATGCTTAGGGGCCGTTGACCTGCTACAGCTCTCCTCCTCAGCGTTAGGCTGGCAGCTCAGCGATGAGCTGGACTATCACTTGGCGCGGGGTTCATCACACAAAACGCCTGCTTTGGTCGGCATGAACTGACCTTTGCTTAGAATCCTATCATAACAGTCACCATGGTGCAACAAACGCCTCCTCAAGGAGGATCACGCAAGATCTCCTTCAATGTCTCGGATCAATATGAGATTCAAGATGTCATCGGAGAGGGCGCCTATGGCGTTGTCTGGTGAGTTTGGTCAGATGAACGAGCGCTGTAGCCGACAACTAATTGGCCTCAGCTCCGCGATTCACAAGCCTTCCGGACAGAAGGTCGCCATCAAGAAGATTACACCATTCGACCATTCCATGTTCTGCCTGCGAACCCTACGTGAGATGAAGCTATTGCGGTATTTCAACCACGAGAACATTATCTCTATTTTGGATATCCAGCGGCCTCGGAATTACGAGAGCTTCAACGAGGTGTACCTGATCCAGGTAAATTTAGAAGCCATGCAACATGGAGGACCCAGCGACTGATTGAAACAGGAATTGATGGAGACGGATATGCACCGTGTCATCCGTACTCAGGACCTTTCCGACGACCATTGCCAATACTTCATTTACCAGACCTTGCGCGCGCTGAAGGCCATGCACTCGGCGAACGTTCTGCACCGTGATCTCAAACCATCCAATCTTCTTCTGAATGCCAACTGCGACCTGAAAGTCTGTGACTTTGGCTTGGCTCGGTCTGCTGCATCAACGGATGACAACTCAGGTTTCATGACGGAATATGTGGCCACGCGGTGGTATCGTGCGCCGGAGATCATGTTGACGTTCAAGGAATACACCAAGGCGATTGATGTGTGGAGTGTGGGCTGTATCCTGGCTGAAATGCTGAGCGGGAAGCCCCTGTTCCCTGGAAAGGACTGTGAGTCTCACAATGCCGGCGCCGCAATTGACAAGCCATTCTGACAACGGACAGACCACCACCAGTTGACTCTTATCCTTGATGTCCTCGGAACGCCAACCATGGAAGACTACTATGGGATCAAGTCCCGACGGGCTCGCGAATACATCCGATCTCTCCCGTTCAAGAAGAAGATTCCCTTCCGCGCCATGTTCCCCAAGAGCAATGACCTTGCCCTGGATCTGTTGGAGAAGCTCCTCGCCTTCAACCCGGCCAAGCGAATCACGGTGGAGGAGGCGCTGCGTCATCCATACCTGGAGCCGTATCACGACCCGGAGGATGAGCCTACGGCACCGCCAATTCCGGAGGGATTCTTTGATTTCGATAAGAACAAGGATGCGTTGAGCAAGGAGCAGTTGAAGCGTAAGGCAGAAGACTTTGTCGTATGTGGAGCTTTACTAACTATTTGGACAGTTTTGATATACGAGGAGATCATGCGGTAAAGAACTTGACGAGCATATGAAGCGGCTAAGATACCATATACGGGGGAATCAAACAAGGCAGTGCCTGTTCAGGTTCAATGGGGTTTCATTCGAGCACATAATAACATGAAGGATAGAAAGAAAAGGATAGGGACAATGCTCGCGCGGTCCACCCTGAGTGATATGCTGCCATTATGGGAATATGGAAGGAGTTGATGTGATGATTCGGGCATCTAAGCTTGTTTGATATGATGCGAGCACAGTAGCTTTGACATGCAGTCCAGTCCAGTACCTAAGACGAACTAGCTCAAGACCGTCTCTTTTTGGGTATATATATGCGGTGCAGAACTCCCTCGAATTACTCCCCCTACTTTTTCGGGGTATATAAATGGAACCGATTACTCAGTATTCCTTGCCCTATACTCCTCCATAAACCTCTGGATCCCCCTCCCAACCCCCTCAGGACTAGGCTTCTCCGCACAGACATCCGGTTCGAACCCGACCCGATTCCTAAGATAATCCCTCGTCGTGGGACCAATAGTCGCCACAAAGAATTTCCGGTTGCTGGTATCGGGCCTTTGATCCAGAGACCCTTCAGGTTGCTCTCCCCGGGTCCCCAACCCACCACCAAGAACCGACGACGATGACGACGAAGCAGCATCCACGTTCTCCAACACCCGCACCATCGCCTCACACCCCGTCGGCGAAAACACCACCGTCCAGACCGGGTCGTGTTTTTTCTGTAGAGCGCGAACCCGCTCCCCAAACGCCTCCTCAAACCCCGCCATCACCCCGGTCTCGTAGACCACCAGCTCGTGCACGGGGATCCGGGCTTCGGGCCGCAGCGCCGCGTCCATCAGCGTCTTGGGGATGATGTCGCGGCGCGTTTCGCCGACGAGGAAGAGGAGGGGTTTTCTTGCGTGTGCATTGGGGTTCGGGGTCTGGGTCTGGGCTGGGGGGTCTGCTGTGCTGGTGCTGGTGCTGTTGTGGTTCCCATCTGGGTTTTCGGTGCTGTTAGGGTAGGCTGGGTAATGCGATAGGATGAACTGCGCGAGGACCTCGCCGGTGCCGGTGTCCTGGCCGTGCAGCGTTGCGTTGGGGAGGTAGGTGGTTGTCAAGGTCGAGAGGGAGCGGTGCGTTGCGGGGCCGACGGTGTAGAGGGGGAGGGTTAGGGGGGTTAATTCCTTTGGGTCTTGGGCTTGGTCAGTTGATGTTGGTTTGTGGGTTGGGTGTAGTGTGGTGCTTGGGTATAGGGAGGGAAGCTTCTTCTTGGTGGGGGACTGCACTGCACTGCACTGCACTGCACTGCGCCGCGCCGGACGGACAAACATACCATCGATCCCCTCGAGAACCTGGGCGAATCCCTCCACCGCGCGCTGACTTGTGAAGATGATGCCGCCGTATCTTTGAGCGGGGTGGCCCGCGCTGAGCCCCCCGGACACGAGCAGGTCGTGGACGCGTTGGAGGTTGGGCGTGTGGAAGTGGTGCTCCAGGACGGGGATGAAGGCGGGGCTGTAGTTTTGGCTCGTGAAGAAGTCGTCGTAGCCGTCGTGCGGGGTGGAGCGGGTCTTGAGGAGGAGGATCGGGATGCGCGGGTCTTGCTCGGCCATTGTTTTTGTTTTTTTCTTTTGAGTTTGGTTTGTTCTTGGGTGGTGAGGTGCAATTGGGGAGAATCGTAGGTGGGAGGAGAGGAGCTTCTGGTGGATGGAGGAGTGCGGAGTGCGGAGCGGAGCGGAGCTGAGCTTGCGCCCCGGCCGAGGTTCCCTGATCCTCCAAGTATTACGTTACTAGGACAAGTATGTTATATCAATGCATACGCAGTGGTTCTAATTCTGATAGGGGGGAAAGGTGGGCAAAACTAATATTGGATTAATAGACACCTCTTAACAGACACTTTGAAGCAGCTACTCAAGGAAATCAATGGGTCTAGCATGGTATGTACACTAAAGAAACAGACTACTGGTCGTCGAGAACATGCAGGTACTTCTTCTCCTCCTGTCTCTCCCGCTCCGTCGCGGGAGGAAGATCGTAGTAGGAGGAGCTACGGTATCCAAGCTGCGAAAATTAGCCCGTATTCCACACATCGTCACGAAAGAACAATCTTACCAAGTAGTGGAAGGTCAGGTTGCTGATCTCAGCAGGCTCGATTCCAAGATCCTTGAAGGTCTTGGCGTTGGGGTCGATCACCTGGTCGATGAATTCGCGCTCAACCTCGTCAGCCGAGACGGTGGGCCACCAGAGGTACTTGTTGAGGTAGTGGGCAAGGGGCTTCATGATGGCCTTGGGCACATTCACGTGGCGGCGGTGCTTGACAATTTCCTTGTCCACTAGCTGGGCAATCTCGGCGGTCGAGTAGTTCTTGGGGCCGTAGAGCTCGAAAGTCTGACCGACGGTGCTGTCATCGTGCAGCATAGCCTCAAGAGCAGCGCCAACATCAATAGCCTGTGAATGTTGTCAGCACGGCCCACCCCATAGCCTTCTGAAAGCAACTTACGTGCACGGGCCAGTAGCGCTCCTGCATGTGGTTGGAAGTGAGGACGTTGGTCGCACGAGCGAGCTTGTGAAGGAGGTTGTCCTCGAAACCGAACATGGGCGCAGGACGGACGATGGTGGTCTCAGGGTAGATAGAGCGAGCAATCTCCTCACCCCAGGCCTGCAGCAGTCAGCACCTATGAGCCAGCGCGAAATACACCCGACCAACGGACCTTGGTAGCGAAGAACTCGGAGGGAGAGTCCCGGCTAGCGTTGTAGGAGGAGACGTGGATGAATCGATCAACATCGTACTTGGCAACCGCCTCCACGATACGCTCCGTTCCATCGACGTGAACGTCGTTGTAAGTGAAGTTCCTGTAGGTAGATTAGCATGGCGCATTCAGGAATGACCTATGATACTGACTTGGTAGGATATTGGCGACCAACAAGGTTATAGACAACATCGGAATGGCGCACAGCCTCCTCAATGGACTGAGTGTTGCGCAGATCGTACTCCTGCGGAATCGCCGAGTAAGTGACTCGAGTACCATGCTTGAAGAGGGGGTATCATACAATGAACGTAATCCGACCGAGATCACCGGTGACCTTCAAGTGTCTCTTCGTCATCTCCTCACGGTAGGGGACAACCACGCTGCATCCCTGACGAGCTATATCGGCGTCAATCTCTAGCTCTGCCTAATCGATCATGGACCCAACCTACCGAGCTTGTTGACAATGTAACGACCGAGGAAACCGGTAGCGCCGAAGACAGTGGCGGTGTGACCTAGATGATATGAGCTTTCTGGTGCCGACGCGAGCGGATAATGACACGAGCAAAGGGCGAAGTACCTCCCAGAGACGACCTGCGGGAGACAAACGTTAGCATCATCCCCAGACCATAACTCCAGTGAATGCGCTCTTACCGTCCACCTTGAACCTTCAAGATGGGCTTTCCAGTCCGACTAATGGCAACATCCTGGAGATTCCGGCGCTGGAACTGGAATTGAATCCGAGGGGCGGGGACGAAGGCCCTCGAGGCCATGGCGGAATTGGCGGCCCGGCAGCTCTGCATGGTCTCAATTCTGCTTGCGAATGCGATGAGACCACCGAAAGGCGTCCGGATCGGTGGTTTGCGAAGGGCAATTGGGTGGTAGAGGGGAGAGAGCCAAGCTCGACGTCAGGACTTGTGCTCACAGCTGGTAGATGTTGAAAGTCGCTGTCCAGAATAACCTTGGAGCGGGCACGGGACTTGACGCTAGTCCCTTTTCGGTCCACTCCCTGGCCGATTTGCACCTTCTTCGATTGTCCAATCTCCCTCCGCGCTGCCTATAATGCTCTGGAAATGACTGTCAATGCGTGGATTTATGATGTTACAGTCGCCTTACTCCAGCATCTCGAGTAATGATCCATCCGACCAGATGTCACGGTCAACTCCAATCCCGAACACTTGATCTCCTGCCGGATCGCGTCTGACTATTCGCGAAACATGATTGGTTGACTGTCTTACAGCGTCATGGTGCACCTGCAACTACCACGACACAACCTAGACTACTCGGTACCTCCTAGTCTGATGTCGAAAAGAAGGAAAAAATAAGTACACAAATTGGAGAACGCAAGGCACACATCACATTCAGTCCATTACTCTTCTAATTGCAACTCTATCACTAAAACTGTTCAGCAGCGTTGTCCCCGAGCAAGGAATAGGGCTTTCGGCAGCTTCTGATGAATCTTGAATGTCATTTGATGCTCCAACACCTCGCTTCGGAAATTCAGGCCTACTCCGGCTTCTTCATAGAGTTGCTGAATCCGCTCGAGTGTGAACCCATGGCTGCCGATTGTGTGTTCAGCGTCGCCAAAGTCAAGCTTCCCATGAGCTGAATCATGCTGCTCATCATGGTGGTGGTGGTGGTGGTGGTTATGATGATGGCCGTGATGGCCGTGGTGGTCCCCTGCTGCCAGGATCTCGAGGACCAAAAGCACACCCCCTTTCTTGAGGCGCTCACTCAACCGCGCCAAGGCCAGTTCGGGGTTCTCAAAGTGGTGCAGCGCCATGCTGACCACCACAAGGTCGAAATTGGTGTATTCTTCTGCGGAGAGTTCCTCCGCCACAGACTCGGCGAGAAGATCAGCTTTGACTCCAGTCATCTTGTTTACTAAGCCCGCATCCTTCGCGTTCTTGTTGAACTCGCTGATCATGCCATCTGAAACATCCATGCCGATGATCTTGCTTACGAAGGGAGCTAGAGTCTGTGGGTTGTCAGCTTCGTTTCTTCGAGACAGCTGACGCGGTAGGGTTAGGAAGCTACCATGGATATAGGACCCGGTCCGCAGGCGTACTCGAGCATCTTGATCTCCCTACCCTGGCCAGACTCGGTGTCGGTCCAGGTATCACTGATCCACGCACGACGGCTAAGGACCTCTGTGCAATTCTTCTCAATGAATTCCTTGAATTCGTCGTTGTAGGTACTAGCCATTTTTCTATGAAATGCATAAGTTTCCTGCTTGTCCATCGCGAGAGCTTGTCACTTACTCGAAGTACTGGCGATTGTTCTCGGTGAAGTCAGACATGATGATGGTATTGAATGGACAATGGTTCAAAGACAGGAGGTATTAATAACCTGCAACGATTGATAGAAGATAGGAGAAATGGGATTGATTGATGGTTGAAAAGAGTCTTCTGCGAAGAGAATAACATGCCCATATTTATATCCTTTCGCCGAGCCGCAAAGAAAAATCCTTGGGTACCCTGGTTGTAGATGGCTCAGAGGGCTGCTCGGAGAGATATCGGACACTTATTGCTACCATTCTGAGGCTACAGTACAGACTCATGTCTGGATTGGTCCAAGCGAGTAGTGTTTTAATTAAACACATACCAAGAGCTACTATACATCCTAAGAGCCCAAAAATACTCTGGGTACAAGGACAAGGTAGTAATTCCGGAAGATATTCATGCTTTGTATGATATTGAGATTGTTGACCATGACGATGATGTAGATGGTGATCGATGTCATGTGCCTCACCGCCCGAGCATTAAGGCGGATGTTCACCTCAGCTCCGCTGCGCTGCCACCTTCAGATCAGCTTCCTTCTATCTTCCCCATCTCTGATTGACGTACCCCCACCTCTCACGACCCTTGACTCTTCTTGATTCCTCTCTCCTATCCTTGTCCCACATCTCAGCATCCCCCGGTTCCATCATGGAGAACCAAAGGATCACCGATTTCCTCGCCGACCAGCTCCAGCAAGCTCCCGAACAGAGCCAGGCCTTGTTCCTGACCTTCGAAGACTACTGGGAGCGCAAGCTATGGCACCAACTTACCGACTCCCTGATCGAATTCTTCCAGCTACCAGAGAGCGGTCCCCAGCGACTACCGATATTCAAGAACTTCGTCCTCAGCTTCGCCGACAGAATCAACCAGCTCAAGTTCGTCTCGCTGGGGTTGATGGCATCGACGGAGTGTGCAGGTCTGTTACCTGCGCCCAGTAGCTTCTGAAGCGCCCTCAACTGACCAAGCCTGGGGGATGATACACAGATGACAAAGAACGCCTCTCCTTCCTCACATCGCTGGCCGACAAGGTCAACAAGCCCGACAGTCAAGATGCTTACATCTACGCCCTCGCAGACGTCGCCAACGTCAAGCAACGACTACAAGACCTGGACGGAGCACAGAAGGATCTGGAGGTCTGCCAAAAAGTGCTCGATACCTTCGACTCGGTTGAGACCGTTGTGCACGCTTCCTTCTACAAAGTCAACGCGGACTACTACCACGTAAGGGTGACACCCTCGTCATCTCCGCATCTCCGTCACTGACAAAGCTCCCCAAACGAAACAGGCCAAACAAGAATTCGCCTCCTTCTACAAGAACGCCCTCCTCTACCTGGCGTGCATCAACCTCGAGGACCTCAGCGACGCAGAGCGGGTGTCGCGGGCCTACAACCTCAGCGTGGCGGCGCTGGTATCGGACACGATCTACAACTTCGGCGAGCTGCTGCTGCACCCGATCCTGGACTCGCTGACCGCGACGCCGCACAGCTGGCTGCGCGATTTGTTGTTCGCCTTCAACCGCGGCGATCTGACCGCCTACGACGTGCTGGCCGGCAACATCTCTAAAAACCAGCTGCTGGAGCAGCACCGCCTCTTCCTGTACCAGAAGATCTCGCTCTCTGCGCTCACGGAGATGGTCTTCCGCCGCCCGCCCCACGACCGCAACCTGACCTTCGCCGCCATCTCCGCCGAGACCAAGGTCAAGCCCCAGGAGATTGAGCACCTGATCATGAAGGCCCTCTCGCTGGGCCTGCTCAAGGGCGCCATCGACCAGGTCGCCCAGGTCGCCCAGATCCACTGGGTCCAGCCCAAGGTCCTGGACATGAATCAGATCGAGGGCATGCGCAACCGCCTGAAGGACTGGGATGCCGGCGTCAACCAGCTGGGCCACTGGATCGAGGGGGTCGGCAAGGATGTGTGGGCCGCTTGAGCAATGAGATTTCCCAAAACATTAGAAACCCGATCTATATTTTCCAGATACCTTAACAACTACCTTACTACAACAACAACAACAACCATGTTATGCCCCCCACCAGCCTGTTTCTCATGCCTCTCCAAGCATCTACTCTCCAAACCCCTCATGATGTGAGAAGAGTAAATCACCTGCGGTTCATGTACGACGTACTAGACTTTCCCATATCTGACTTACTATAATCCAAAGCGTATGGAATGGCACCACTCTACTCGAAACCTACACCATAATTTAATATTCAGGAGAAACCTAACCACACGAAACTACGACGAGAAAGGGAAGTCTACTGTAGATCTAACAAGATTTATACTATACTATACAGATGTTCAACAGACGAGTAAACGAAGCAAAGCTATCTGTATGATGCTCTACCTACCCTTCAGAAGAAAAAGCTCTAGAATAGGGAGAACCCCAACAGAGCACACCCAGTCACCCACGCGGGCCACCAGACACACCAGACCACCACCTGGGTCCACATGCCCCAGACGTCCCACCCGAAGGCCGCCTGCGTGAGGACGGTCTCCACGTCGACCCCGGAGTACCAGCACGCCCCGAGAAGGACGACGGGCGGGGACAGCAGGTTCAAGAGGACGAGGCCGGCGACGGCGAGCACGGACCGCACGGAGCGGGAGGCGGTGCGCGGGTCGATGCGGTTGACGAAGCTGAGCGGGGTACAGAGGAGGCCGATCATGAAGGACAGGGAGAAGTTGAGGGTGGCGAGCGTGGAGAGGAAGAGGCCGAGGACGAGGAGCGAGAACGATTTGATGAGGAGGGATTGTTGCGATTGGTCCCGCGAAGTGGTCGTCAGGCCGCGGGTGAGGGAGGCTGCGAGCACGATGGGGAGGATGGCGTTGATGGCGATGCTGGCATAGGTTGCGGTTGGGTAGTACTGGTGGTTGAGGTTAGCATGTTGGACGGTAAAGGGAATGGTCGGGCACGAACCTGGTGGTTGACATTGTTGAAAATATAAAGAGGGACGAGACCGAGGAGATGGAGGCCGACGACGAGGGTGAGCGGCAGGGCAAGTTGACGCTCGATGATGCTGCTTGAGTCGGGTTTGACAGCTGGTTGCTGCGCGGTGTTCGCACCGGACTTCTCCGTCAAAGTAGCCGCTTGCTTGTTCGTCTCTCCTGCAGTTACTGGAGGCTTGACGGCAGTTTGCTCCAAGCCGGTATAGTATCCCGTCCGCAGCCAGAGTGCAATGGCCATGATGGTGAAGTTTCCGGCAATCAGCATGGCACTGGGTAGATAGGTGCCGATGCTGACGAAGCGGTTGGTCTGCATGAGCAGGTAGAAGAAGAAGCTCTGATGGAGATGCTCCAGGAGATTGTTCAAACTGCGACAGAGGCCCTCGATGGTACGGCCCAATGCCATCTCATCCTGCCAACCGTCGCCTTTGGGCTGCAGCGTGATGGCGTCAATATGGTATGGCATAAAACTGCTGTGCGCACCCGTGGCGTAGCCGAAGCCCTGCTTGATCATGCCTCGCAGAATCGTCTGCAGTCGCATCTCATAGCTGTCATTGTGGTCCCACATTTCTTGCAGGTTGGAACCAATACCCATCTGGCCCCCAGCGATCGATACAGCCGTGTTGAACAGGTCCAAATTGGGCAACTGCCCGTTAACACCATCGTAAAGAATATGAAGTGACTCGAACCGATGATCGAAGGGATACTCAATGACCAAGCCTCCCTGCAACGCGCCGCTCTTCAATGGCAGCGGCTGCACAAATGCCGGTTGCATGTCATGGTAAGCGTCAATCCACGCCTGGGTACCCAATTTACTATCCGGTGGGAACACGAAGATGATATCCTTCGACCATAGTGACCATCCTGTAAGGCGCAAACCCAGTCAGCAAAATGGAAACGTCTTCAGCTGCTGCGGCTGCGGCTGCTCCGCTGGACGAAGCCGGAAAAGCATCACGCACGTTTGAAGTATCCCGCCAGTGTCAGCGCAAGGCTTACACCAATCAGATTGAGCTCGTCATCGGCAGTCTTCCAGGCTGCGACAAGAACAATGGCTTCAGTAGCGTCACCCCGCGGTGCTTGGATAATCGCGTAGACATTCTGCCCCTGATGGGTGATCCCCGACGAAGTGTACTCGTACTTCTGCGTTGCGACTTTGAGTCCTGCGGCTCGCAAGATCGACTGGATCTTATCGGAAACACTAAGCGCAAATTCAAACCCGCATCAGCACGACATGGCCTTCTCAACGGAGCGGGAAGGGGTCACTGGAAAGAGAAAGAACATACGCCGGGGTGAATTCCTCGTTTCTGCTGTCTTCCTCACTTGGCGTCTGGCGCTCCAGGATCGCCTCTAGCTCCTTCTTGTATCCTCGGAAGATGTGCTGTTCACTGCCGGAGAAATATGCGTGGACCTGACCGGGTAAGAGCGCGTTTTCGGAGATGTACGTTTGGCGGGAGTAGTCGTTGAGGGGCAGGAGGAGCAGCCAGACGACGCCGGCCACGATGCAGATGAAGGAGAGAATATGCGGCAGATGGACGAAGAGAAAATGAGGATTGCTCCGCAGTTTGCGGATTGCGGCTGCCATGGTTCTTCTGTCAGCATGAGTTTGAATCGATCCGAGGTGTTGTTTCGCCCGCCGAGGGCAATCCGGGGTAAACAGGGTGGTGATAGCAATCTGGGATAAGCAGGGCCGATAGAGGAAGACAAGAAGCTTATGGAGAGTCTCTCACTAGTGCACATGGTGGTGAGCCAACTCACATTTTAGAGCCATGGAGGTTGCAACATTTAGGGACTCCGTCCCATGGAAGAGTTGTTGATGCTACAGCTGAACGGGTACGGAGCGATCAATCGGCGGCGATTTGGCCAGAGCAGCGCGGAATTTACGTCAGCCGCTAAGTAGTTAACTATGTACAGTCATAACCATGTTTAAGTTATTGTTAATATGATTGACACTGGCTTGATAATTATCATATAACATTAAATAATATTCACTCCTTCCATAACTTGCTTTTACACATTACAGAAAAAGTCGCGTATAGTAGAAATTATAATATATGCACAAGAATGAAAGGCTGTAGGACAACCCGTCTATTGAGTTCTCAAGCACCCAAACGCTGCGAGGAGCCCAGGTAGCTCATTGGAGTCGCCCTCTCACCCCCTGCAGTCGTGGTCGGAAGAACACCGTACCGACCAAACGTCTTCTGGTCCACCGAGACATAGTGTGGCAGTCTGCCCAGAAGGTTCAACTTCCCTTCAATCCATCTCAGGACCTTCTCAGGGGGGACGAAAACTTTCAGATACCCGAGACCGACTAATCCAACATGTTAGAGAGGCGGGGGACAGATGCAAGCAGGTGCAAAAGGCAGAATACTTACACAGATAACCCACGAAAATGGCGCAGAGATGGCCCAGAAGACTCGCATTCTGGACAAAAATCGAGACCAGGCCACAGGCAAACAGGGGGGAGGTCCACGTAGGTATCTTGTACGGCCCGAGGCTGACGGATCGTCAGTTCGGGTTTCAACGCATGTGTTCCGGAAAGTTTTGACCTACCTGAAGTACGGATTGGATTTGAAGGTTCTTATGGCTTCAGACCCCAAGAGCAAGAAGACCCAAACACTGAAAGATCTGTTAGACGCCCCTCAAGGACCCAGAATAGCAGGCCAGAGTCACTCACCTAGCACCAAACACTTCGGTGTTTCTGTGCAAGACAAATCTCTCGATCACAATATACGCGCCCGCCGGGAATGTCGAAAGAGCTAAAATGTGGTCACCGCAGTCAGTGTCTCTGCTGCAGCGACAAAGCCTGGACATGATTGGGCTGAATTGACTTACGGCCAAAGAACAGAGCAACTGCCGTCAATGTGCCATGCTCGGCCTCAAACCGCTCCAACAATGGAGTGAGAGCCAGCAGATTCAGGAAGGCATGGAAGAATCCGAAGTGGATGAATGGGTATGTGTTAAGTCGATACACTGTGTTCTCATGTCAGATTGCACGCGTCCTTGTGTACTCCTTGCAAGGGTCTGGAGACTGTTCATACTGGTGCCAATGTTGATTTCCTCTGGTATCAGCGAGCCCCATTGTTTGACACTCCACACCGTCTGCAGTTCGAGCAGCCAGAACACGATGATCGCTAAGAGCACAAGCCGAGTGAAAAGAGGGAGGCGAAGAACGTAGGACCGGACCCTCGATGGGTTGAACGGCAGTGGCGGTAAAGCGGCCGGAGTAGCCATGATGTTAGGTATTCGAGCCGTAAATCACAGATTATGATATTAGAGTACAGAGTCGGAGATAGACCGTGTGGCTTAAGATCTAGACACCAATGTTGTCTGTATGTAATGAAGGCCGGTCGAGACTGTTGAAGGCGTCAAGCGCACGGTCGTTCGAGGGGGCAGTGGATCAATTTGGTAGGGGGACGCTGCCTCTCAAGGAAAGACTGGTGATCCGAGCTGAGGCTAGAGTCGACTTTTGGAAAGGTGTAGCAATAGATCAAGGTTGTAAAAGATGACTGCTTTCGTCAGCCCGACAAGCCACGGGGGAGGGATGAAAGGTAAACACGCGACAGGGTCGCAAGAAGCCAGCAATCAAGCCCGCACGAAGCAAAGGGGACATACAGTCGACAAATTAGCGCAATTGCCCCGCAAGTCAGGGGAAAGGAGAAATCCACCGGCGCAGTGCTTCCTCAAGTGTGTTTGTTGGCTCTTCTTGCTCCTGGGGACAGTAAACGCTGATCTGTTCTCCCCGACGGCCTTTTTTCCCAGCGCCAACCACCGGGGTCACGTGGAACAATCCATCCTGTCAAAAATAATCGATCTTACTCAACTTACTTCAACCATTGCAGGTGTCTATGGAAGAATGCAGCATAATTGGAGCCTGTCATTACTCATTCCGTTCATTGACTAATGATGAGAAAATTCTAGAAGGGCATCCGGGCCCACAATATGTACAGTACATCTAAGCATTTACAGGTACTGGCGGAACCAGGCAATGGCCTGGCAAAAAGCCTGCTCCTTAGCCCACTTGAAGTGCTTGTTGCTAAGATCGGCACGAACAGCGAAACCGTGGGAGACACCGCTGAACAGGTTGATTTGCCAGGGCTGACCAGTCTTGATCAGGGTGCCCTCGGACTCGTGACGAAGCTCGGTGGTGAAGATGGCGTCGATCTCTGTTTAAAGACAGGGCGAATTAGCTACGAATTTCGACCAGAGCGCGCTCCACCACCAAGACACAGAAACTTACCGGAAGCAGCAATGGAGAGAGGACCGGTAATAGCGCCGAGCTCCTCGTGGGTGACGAAAGAGGGGTGGGCGTTGAAGCCAACGTCGACCTTGCCCTCCTTCATGAAACGGCAGACGTACTAAGGCACAATGAGACCGTTAGCATGTCCACATTGTACGAGGAATGGCTCATCACTGAAGCGGGGGCTCACCTTGGCACCGAAGCAGTAACCGACAGCAGCAAGTCTCTTGACACCCAAGTCACCCTTGACGTACTTGACGGCAGCCTCGACGATAGGGTCAACGTTGGCAGGCTGGTGGTTGGGGAACCAAGCGCCAATGTCGAATTTTCCGGCCTCCATCTCAGCGACGGGGATGGCGTCGCCGTTGAACAGGTCGGGGATAACGCAAAGGTAGCCATTGGCAGCGTACTCATCAGCGAGCAGCTTGGCGTTGTTGAAGAGACCGAAAACGTCGCTCAGGAAGAGGACAGCCTTCTCGGGAGTCTTGTTGTCCTTGGGGTAGGTGATGTAGTAGTCAACTGCAGCATAGACCCTGTCAGTGAGATCATTCTCTGCAGACAAGAGCCTGGTAAGGACAACCTACCGCCATTGACATTCTTGACCTCGCCAACGGGGGTGCCTTCGTGCTTGAAGCCCTGGGCACAGCAAGCTCCGGGAGGGTTGGACGCCATTGTGATGTGTAAAGGTTGGGGGGAGAGAGGTGATTACTCTGAACGAGTTAGTAGGATATGCAAGAATGTTTTGGATATTCGGGAAGTCAAAAGGTGAGATACGGCTGGATATATACCCTGAATTTGCCCCGAATTGGAGTAATTTGCGCATGCAGTGGCTTCGAGATTCCCCTCCATTGCCCCCCACTTGTTGCCCCTCCTAGGGAAAGTTCCCACGGTTAGATTAGGCAGGTCACCAAATGGCGTGGCCCTTACTAATCCCTGACATCATGGATCGACTCTACAATTTCCGTCGCAAAGCAGCATATTGCAGTCTGGTCTCTTCGAATTCCACCATCTCGTGTAGTAAAATACCTGCCAGAGAGCACACTATAACGTCAAACATGTTTCTTTGTCTGTGAAGCCATTCATAAGTGAGATAAACTGAGACAGTAATTCAACCGGCGACTTGCCAAATTGCCGAGGCGGCAAGTTCCTCCTGCCGACGTCGGGCCAACCGTCGCCATTCTCTTTTTTTCTTACCCACTCTTTTTCTTTTGGCTAAGCTTTGGTAGGACTCGGACTTATGGGCTTAGCTCCGGGAGTAGCATCCGTACAGCTATAGGTCTAACTACAATTGCCCAGCAGCAGGGCAAGTCTCAAACATGTTTATGAAACTTTACACGTATTTCGTCACCGAGTCAAACTGAAAACAAGCTGGGAACAATTCTGCATATAGTACCAATTGTTCATAAATTAAGCCCTTATTATCAGGTATCAACTTGCTAACTAAATGGCCCTCGTATCCTCCTCATTATTGCCTGAGAGATTCAGGCAGATCATTCATTCATGGAAATCACATTAAGACAAGATTCATCGCAAAAAGGCCGTGGTAAATGGGGTCATTTTCATCGTCAGAGCTCGAATCCTGCGCTCCAACACCAGGCCGAAGGATAACCGATATCCGTGGGGGGTATAATGCTGTAGAAAGCAAATCTTTTCTTGCGGGGTTCTTCCTCGTGTATCCTCATCTGTAGAGAGCTCCTGGGGTGTCCTTGGAGAGCATTTCTCAACAAACACAATATGCACGATGTAGACAATATTTTCAATCAAGCGGGGAACTGATAAGGTGGCAGCTGGGGACGGGATTCCCGCTTCACCGCCCAGGCTTTGAGGGCGATCGTGAGGATCTCGTAGGCCATAACGAAGGCGGTCAAGCCCATGGTGACAGTGAACACAAACATCGCATCGAGGTCGTAGTATTCCATAGTCTGAATCACGCTGCGTGTCTGCACAAAAGTTAGCCAATCGATTCCTAGCTTTTAGGCATGACTGCCAGCGAAAAACTTACACTAAGCATGAAAACCAAGCCACCAGAAATGAGGCAGAAGGCAGCCACGATCTCAGTTGGCGGACGAGCAGGCAGGTAGGAGGTAGGTGGCTTCAAATACATCAGGACATAAGTCACACCCCGAGCAAGCGCAAACCCGACGAGAAGGTTGCCCCACTGCTTGTGCACCATTGTTGATACCATGCTGTCTTGATGGTGAGAACCCATCATCATGCCCAGAAGAAGGATAATCAATGCAGGCATAGGGTTGAGGGAAACGCCCTGGGTGTCAGGAAGCTGCCAGGCAGTATCGCTGGAGGCATGAGCGTTCATGTGGGATGGATATTGCAGGACAGTGCTGTTCAACCAGCTCTTGACGCGTCTTGACTCGAAAAGCATGCCACACAGTCCACCACCGAAGAACATGATGGAGATCGAGACATGCTCAAAGTCGGTCGCAGTCCACTTGCCGCCCCAACCTGTGAGGTGCTCCAGAAACATGTTACTCGCACCATAGAGGAAGATCACGAACGACTCAGTGAACTCTCCACTAGGGACTTTGGCCTTCCATTTCCCAACAATAGCGCTCGACGGTTTCACATTCCAGGCCCAGCCGAGATCTGCCCAACAGCCAAGCATTCGTCCTAGTGTCAATAGACCGTACCACACGAAGATTCCGCCTTTGATGAAATGCGCAAGACCGTTGAAAATTTCCTTGCCGCGCTGCGTCACACGTTAGCGAGAGCTGTTTATACAATTACCGAAGCGATGATCATACCATAATACCGCCGTAGGTCACAAAACCAGTCACAAGAGCGACAAAGCCGAACGGCAGGATGATCCTGTCGATGATCTTATAGATGGCCGTTAGGACGCGGAGCACACGGTTGGACATCATACCCGGCACACGGCTAGCCAGGAAGCGGTCAACAATGGGGATGCGCATGGGTCTGTGTGACTGAGGGGGGTTCTCAGGGACAGGGTCCTCCGGTTTTTCAAAGCCGTCGTACTCGTCCGATGCGGACGCACACGATGGCGACTCTGGACAGTGGATCGAGGAGGAATTTCTCTCAGTTCCCTGCCCGCTATCTCTCGACCAACGATATGAGTGGCGAGGGCCAGTAGGGAAGGTGTGGTGGCTATCAGCCATTTCGTCGGTCGACACGGGAAGGAAAGCTGCGCGTTCATAGGAGCTGTTTTCGGTCTCCCCTCGTCCGGCGTAGGCGAAAATCAACGACATAATCACTTGAGCGCTGATAACCCAGGTCACGATCCAACCAATCTTGTGATGGGCATTGTTTTCGTATAGATCCGGGGTCTGGCTGTTGTAGATTATTCCGACAAGCATCCCAACCGCATTAAGCACCAGGAAGAGGAATTGCGACGGCAAGGCAAAGCGGGATCGTCCAACACTGAGCATGACCGCTGCAAACTTTTTGTTAGCGCCGCGTGCGCCTGGCTTGCGAAATGGAAATCTGATTTGGAAGCAGGAGAAGAACCTACCAATTGGGAGGATGAAGCACCAGGCAACGACCATTAGACCGATGTGCGCCATGATTGCGCCGCTATGCTTGTCATAGGCAAAATAACTCATAGGCGAGTCGTCAGTCGTCTCTGTGTTTTCCTTGGGTTGCGAATCGTGGCTGGACATGTCCATGCCGCTTTCCATGTGCATTCCGTCATCATCTCCATGCGGAATAGCATTCGCAACTGAGATTAGAAAGGAAGACGCCGCGAACGCGGCACGGGAAGCTCGCTGCCACATGAGCACAAGCTTGAACTTGGTTTGCGACAATAAGAAAATGCGACAAAAGGGAACTTATGGAGCGCAAGGGCTACGAGCTTGCTTGGGCACCCGACAACTGCTCCCTAGGCTGAAGAGACGGCACCTCTGGAATTAGGCAGGGAGTTGTCGGCTGAGGTGGTAGAGCTGTTGTGCATGCAAAGGACCGACGGTCGAGCGCGGTGCAGTGGGAGAGCGGACGGGAAGTATAAGAAGCAAAGAGCTCAAGGGATCCTCAACTGGTGGCTTACGGATGATCCAAGGACTGCAGGGAGAAGAAAATAAAGAGCTGGGAAGCAAGAGGGTTGCGCCAGTCTTTTTAATCAGGTCATTACACATCATTACCGACATTCGCGCTGTATTCAAGTTGCTGGTTGGGTCTTGGGTCTTCGTTCGTCTTCCTTTTCGGAGCTGGCGGGGATAGCTATGCAACAAATCCGAAAGGCCGTGGAAACAACAGCCTCGCTCGAGCACCGGGTACCGGAAGGAGTGGAGCAGAAAGTCACTGCGGTGGAGTGGGCTGGCTAGGTGACCTAGTAGGCTAGTAGGCTAATACGTAGAGGTCACTCGGTGCTTTCTTCTTTCTTTCTTATTTTTTCCATAAACTAATTAACCCATCAACTTTTGAGTAAGTACGACTAAGTACCTCATTGGTTCAAGAGGTAGCTACCTACCTATAGATTCATCCAGAAGCACTTGGTCTACCAGTGGTCCAATCCACTGCCACAGATGAGTCTTCATTGTTCATGTTCTCATTCAGTGTTTCCCGCTCGTCATCATGAGGTGTCTCTCGGTACAGTGAATTAGTGAGCATTATTTTTTTTTGGCACTAGGCGACTAGATGATCGCTGGAGCGATCATTAGTTCCATTTCTGGAACCTTAATTTTCTCTCTTTCCTTTTTTTTTTCTTCCAGACTTGCCGAGTTTTCCATCTTGATCGATTTCCAATGTGATAGTACGGCCTTGGGAACTTATCCTTGGCTAAGCTCCTCTCTGTGCTCAACAGCATGCTTCTGACACATGATGAGCACTAATCAGTACGACTTCATCTTAGTCAGAGCAAGTGCGCTGGCACATTCCAGGTCAAAACCGGAGTCTTTTCAATCGACAAGGCAGCATTGGATCACTCAAAGAGAGATAAAACCTAACAGAGATTTGAGATTTTTGGGGGTGCTTCGGCTCTCGGAAGGCCGGAGCAGCTGGGAGGAGGAGTTCTGGGCATTGAAGTCATGCCGGGCTGAAGGTGCCGTGGAAAATGACCTCATTCCAAGGTACCGAACTGTTAGCGCCGGGTCTAGAGCGGACTCTCTTTAACCCTTTAGGGCCGAGCTTATTGTTCATGTGCCTTTACTCAATCTAACTCATTCTTACTCATAAACTAGTGTCTAACTAGCTGTTGGCAACTGAACGACTATGTTGCATATACGCTTTAATTGTATTACAGATCGCTGTTCTACATGACCTGACTCTGCCTCAAAGACAGACCCTGTTGGTACAGTTGTCCTGGCAAGAGATTATGGTTTGAATTGCGAGCTAGAACCCTTCTTCTCTACTCCCTGAGGACGAAGACATGCTAGTCTCTAACTTATACTCCAACCTTCACGTACTGAACACCATAGACTTCCCAAGTATGTTTAGCTCATGTGACTGTTCGTTCCAGGAGATTTTTGTTTCAAATTTGGTGAAAGTTGCTGGACTTCCCCGCATTCTCATGTCTCAGCGGCAGCCCATCGAATCCAAAAGACACCGGCCTCTCCCAACTTGGAATGTTTCGATGCGACATGATCTCGATCGTCTCTAGCCGCTTGGGAGTCTCCAGCCGCGTGGTAAGATTGACTACTATTCAATGGTTTCTGTTAGAGTGAGCCCGTATTCTCATATACTACGTATCCGGCCCAATGAAAACAAGTTTGTATCCTGACAGCTAGCTATTCAACTGAGTGAGGAACAGCGGTGCGACTTCACATGATAGCCACTCACTCTATAGCTGATATGCTACCGGCCTCAAGTCAGATCGCGGAGTAGGTCTCATATAGTGAACCCATCCAACGCTCCCCTTGCATGATACGTTTGCTGGGTGGAGTCACGGGAGCTAAAGACGGTACAGCAAGGCTCCAGGCTGCTTCATACTCACTGTCTACCATAGATGAATACACTGCTGGATTCGAAGTTGCGCGTAGAGAGATAGGTGCGCATATTCAGTCATAAACTGCTTACGAGCTACGAAAGACATCTGGAAAGCTCCTGTGTTCTCAAAACCTAGAAAGGCCTGGTTAACTAGGCTATTGCCCAATTCTCTGGGTTTGTTTATTGTCTGAGATTGGCTAGGGTGAAGTATACCTTGATTGTTGACAAGTCAAGTCCCTTAATTTCGACCTCTATGGTCTGATCGTCGACATTTTAGGTACATAGTGGTGTAGCGTGACATCTTCATGCAGCTTGTCACACTTAAAAAAGAAGATCGTGTCTTGAAGTGAGGGGAGAGGTAGAGGTATAGTACCTGCCGTGAACAATCACACAGTGCATGGATGTGCTGGCGTGAAGAGCTCATACGTGAGCCTTTAGCGACGATCTTCATCCTCCATGCAACAACGACCCAGTATCTGTGATGCCTGAAGCTTACACGACCAGATAGGTTGACTCTGACACTACTTTTCAAATTTGAGTTGTAGTGAGTAGGCTACAATGATTCTCTAGAGCCTATGCGGCGTCGTGTTGTGAGGGAGCTGGCAGTTTTGTTATCCATTATTGCATTGATAATAATAATAATAATGATAATACTACTACTATTACTCATGCACTTGTGTTGGGCGGGTCGACCGCCAACAAGCGTCGATCTCTTTATCTGCGTATACCTCCGTGGTGAGTGACTACTCGAACTAGTGACATTCTCCCATTCATGATCCCTCGGAAACAGACCCCACCCTGCGGGGCCCTCGCACGTTGGGCGCCCAGCCCTGTTTGCGTCTGTGTGTCGTCTGGTCCGTCTGGTCTGTTTTTCCCTCTTGCTCTCTCTGTCTCGTCTGACAACCCAACTGGCGATCGTGGCTTGGCGTCACCTTTTAGCACGGACTTAAGGAAGCACTTGCATCCGCGCTCTTCCGCAAGAGCGCCTTCTTGCGGGTAGTCTTGAAGGGAGGCTGGCTTGACCGCCTCGAGATCTACGGAGCCTATCGAGGAGCTGTCATCTGTGTGAACAGCCCTGCCGTTGATACATAATGACTTCATTGCAGCTACTTCACAGGTGGGTAGGGCTGGGGAAATTCACCTTAGTGGAGAGTGATTTGGAACAACCACGCCGAGGCTCAGTTGGTTAAGCAAGATTTGTGACATGCAGGGCTGGAAAGACCGGAGGAAGAAAAAGAAAAAGGTGCAAAAAAAATGATGTTATTCAAAAGCCGGGCGAACCAAGCTGCCAAAAAAACTAGACTAACCAAGCTATGGGAAACCGACATGGACCAGTCCCCTAAGCAGAACCAAATGAAAACGACACGCACCGGTTCCTCTTGGAGACACGCCCGCCGCTCCGCACACCAGCAACTCGCATGACCTGGTGAAATTTCCCGTCTCGTTTCTTTTGACTTCTCAATCAATAATGATACCTAATTGTGCCGTTCCCACTTGATGCAGTGCCGAGTCGCCGAGATTCCTCTGTACGCGCTTACTTATACGCATCGTATGACTCATTGAAATACGCCTGGACTCGGATCGGATATCATCTGCAGCTGGCTGGAAGATGCTTTGACGTCATCAAACCGTGACTATGGCAGCATCATATGAGCTGATTCCTCGCATATTGACCTGCTTTGGGGACATGGGCTTTCGATATTGCTATCTGTATAGCATTCAGTATTGAATTGGCCCCTTTGTTGTTGAGCTTGAGCCTAGAGGGCAATCCCCGCAATATGCCGGACATCAGAGCAGCAATCATTGCCGTCTTGGACATCCGTGCTGCCAGCCTCATGAGGACCCGCCCGCTACGACCATCCCCGATAAGATTCATGCATGTTTAGTGCAGTGCACAGAGCCGTGTGCACAAATCCCTTCGCTAGGGTCTACCGTACCTGTACTTCGAGGACAGCTGACAGCCAACAAACTCATTTTTGGGAGGATGTTATCAGCACCACAGGGCTCCAGAGTCATGAATGCATAAGGTTGCGTTCATTGCTGCCTACCATTGGTCACGAAGCACTGCCGCCGTCAAAGGTGTGCTATACAGGAGATACCTTACTCAGGTGTAGGGTTCAAGTATGCCAGGATTCAGTCGATTCCAACTACTACAAGTGGGACCGAACCGACCGACCTTTCCCCATACACCATCCAATCAATTCACCGATAGATACGTTTTGGGGCTCTCATCACGACGGGAATCTTCTTTCCTCTTCATGCGGACGGGGCACATTATTAATACAAGGCGGGTTTGATTGGAAGAGAAAAGATTTTTTTTCCCTTCCTTGAGAATCCAGATACCGATAGAGTAAGCAAAACACGAACGGGGTCAGTCCGAAGGCACGCCCTTGGAGAACTAATATGAAATGGTATCTTGTTGGGAAGGAAAATTTTCTTTGCTTATGGGGCTAATCGAAGATGGGTCTTTCCCGCCGTTATCACATCAGCACATGGTCGATCTGGACATCTATGATTTCTGGGTACTTGGTTTTCGGGCATTCATTTATGCTCGAGAATTGCAAGCCAGCAACGATATGACTTTCTAACAAAACCGGAACAATAAACAATAAACATTCAAGTCAACATGCCGGGATGTTCTCATACAGCTTGCCATGGACAACCAAAGTCAAGAAATCCACCCGTACTTCCCGAACACTTCCCCTAAAGAGGTAGGATGCAACGATGGGAGCGGGAAAACGAAGACTAGCTAAGGCCGGCAATTCGGCATCAATGCAAACAACCACGAATTGAATGGATGGATCAAATGCCCTAACCTTGGATTTGAGAGAGAAAAATACATGGGCCAGGCGGGTAAATCTCCGAAAGCCGCCGTTACAGGTACTTCAATATGGTCAAATCCCCGACCCTCCCCCTCCCCATTCTAAACCCCGATGCAGAATTGGCAATTGGAATTGCATCCTAGCATGGCATGCCGGGAAGCGCGGCGGCTGCGGAAAGGCGCGAAAATCGCACCTGGTCCTGGATTATTTTTGAAGTCTGTCACCTTAACTGTGCCGATACCTTAAGGCAGCTGACCATGAAGAATGGCAATCGCTCTTCAAGGGCCCTTTTTGGGACGAAGCTAGCGGGTGGTCCCGTCCGCGAGTGGTGTCGAGAGAAGCGAGCAAGTCTGTCCCGGATATTGTTATGTCGGGGTTATCTCGGATCAAGGATGCTTCCAGTCTTTTACTCCTTCCAGCCATGCTACACCAATGCATCGCGGATATACGGAATTAACAAGCGATTGCTATGGATTTGGTCATTATTGAAGGTTTGATCCGGTGGTCGGAGTCTTGGACCGGAAGTCTGGAGGATCAACAACCTGAGGATCCATGCCGATCTTGGTATAATGCAGTGTAAACTATGCTTTGGTGGACAATCATGATAACCACCCACTGGTCGCCGACGCCACTGCAACAATTGTGAGGTAGAACTAGAACCCTTGGGGACTACCTCGTCTGCACGAAGCGACTGAGGTTGCAGTGTGGAGGGGCTTAGGTATCTGGGGTTTGAATAACATGCGCCTCCAATCACCACCTTTGCCCACTAACCTGAGGGTATCAGCTTAGTATCTACACTAGTATCTCAGCAAACAATCCTCCATCGTGGATGATTGGACTTTATTACGCTGATCGGCATGCAAACACGGAGTGAGCCCGTGACTCGAGACCTCCTCCACACTAGAAATGTGCAATAGTAGTAGTAGGTCGGTGCCCTCAACCGTCGCAATTGAGGAAGACCTCCTTGTAGCGGGTGCGTCTTCCTGCCTGCCCTTCCTGTCTAGGACAGGTGACATCTTCTTTCACAAATACCGACCCCTAACGTAGCATTATCTGCTGCCTCCCAAAGCATTCCATCCATTTTCCAGATTCTTCATCAGTTTCTGCAGACCATTCCGCCTGTTGTTCGCGTCACCGCTCGTTGTCGTCGCCATCCAGTCAGCAAAAGGATGGAGCATCAACAACAGAAGAGAGACATGAAGGGAATCTGTCCAGTATGAGAAGCACCTAAGCTCTAGATTGACCGAAAAATCAACACATGTTGACGCTGCGTGAACGATCGGCCTCCAAGGCCGTCTCATTTATACATCAAAAGCCAGTGACAGGAAGGATGATGATAAGCGAGGCCCGGCAAGGCGGAGGAAAACCCGCCGGGGGCTTCCTCACCGCCCGTCTCGCCATTCTTGTCGATCCATGTGATCATGTGATTTCGGACCCAAGCCGGCTTAGTGGCCCGCAAGCGAGGTGGTCCGAGCCCGGCGTCCGGGCAAGCGCAGGAAAGCACACAACGGAATTTCAACCCTAGCCTTTTTGTCTGAATCCCCTCAACGCCCAGCCGACGACAAATCCGCCTGCCCAAACACCCCCGACCTCATCCCCCAGGTTTTCTCTCGCCTCAGAAAATTCAAGATGACTCACGAGTCTGTTTGGTACAGCCGTCCCCGCCAGTAAGTGCTCCCTGTTCGACGCGATCCGTGTGAAAATTGAGGGTATATTCGTGAGACTAACGGAGATGCGTGGTATAGGTTCGGCAAGGGCTCCCGTGGATGGTGTGTTCAACCCCCTTGAAATCTGGAAAATGCGAAGAGAAACGGTCAAAAGAGAAGGAGAATTATGCGATGACTTGGAACGCCGAATGGAGGAACACACCATGGACAAATGACTGATTTATGCTCGATTGAAATACAGCCGTGTCTGCTCCCACCGCGCCGGTCTCATCCGCAAGTACGGGGTATGGAACACCTGATATACTCTCCTTTGGATACAATTCGAGTACATGGGACCGGTGAACTGATCGAGGATGCATTATAGATGAACATCTGCCGTCAGTGCTTCCGTGAGAAGGCTTCGGACATCGGTTTCTACAAGGTTGGTTTTCATCTTCACCTCTATACCTTGCTCTACCACACAACCTGCGCTCGCGATTGGAGGATACACATTGTTGCCTGCGACCATGGAAAGACTCGACATGATCAACATTGGAGGCAAAGGGAGCAAAAACAATGGAACGACGAGAGGACAAATTCGACAGGGCGACGGCACACTTGGAGTTCCTACACATCACACAACATGCACACATCAACCACCCACCCGAACAACCTAAGCTAATGCCTCACCTCCTTCAGTTCCGTTAAATTCCTTCCTTCTTCCGAATTCAATTTTCCTTTGTTCACGACGGATCTCTTTCACGTGCTCGGGCGCTCGGTACCAAAATGAAGTGATGAAATGGAGAGGAGGAATACCTTTTCTTGTTCTCTCTCTTTTCGAACAACTCCAGAGAATCGCCGCGAATCCTTGAACTTCTCAACAAACCCCCAATCCGCTCGGACAATGGCTTAGGATTTGCTCTTGAAAACAAAGCAGATCTCGGACTGGGGACTCATCTGGTACTCGGGGAGGATTTTGAATTTTTTAGAGAGCGGAGAAATGAGAGAAAAACAAGAAATGAAATCTTAAAATTGAGGGATGCTTCATATGCTTTTCTTTTCTTTTCGCTTCTACTAGATCGGTACGGATAACCCGATCGTCTGGGTTAGGTTTTGCGATGGAAGCAATGCACCGCATGGGGTCTGGCTGGCCTGTTTACCTTATGCGTCGGATCGGTCCCGTTGGGGCGGTTTCGTGCTGGATCGATTCCCATCGTGTGGATTATGGACCTCTTCTCCGTCTGTCCTGCCCTCTCCTGCGGCCTCTGCGGTTCCCCCGATGCCTCCATTGTAGTGGTTGGAGACTGGACGTTTGCGTGACTGCCCATCTCGTAGTGCACTTGAATGCGCCCTTCGACAAAACCATCCACCCCATTTAGCTCTAGCCGGGCACTATCACACTATACTACCTAGGCTCCGAAGGAACTACTCCACAAGCCAATCACATTGACTCCAGCTTTGAAGGAAGTATACATCCTCCCTGCTACAGTATGCTATCAAAACCCCCAAATCCAATGCAAGCCGTATTCACAAAATAGCCTCCACAGCCACGAAAACTCCCCAGCGCAAGAACATGCAGAGGAAACTTCCTCGACCTACCTCCCTGTCTTCCTTGTATAATGCCATGAAATAGAAGTCAAAAGTTTCGAACGAGTACAAGTATTGCTATGATAATGCTATGCCAATTCTGGAAATTTCACCTCCCCACCATGCCCGAATTCATTCATACAGTGTATATGAAAGACAACGGAAGACATGGGGATTGGAAAAAGTCAAGTGAACAACAATACAAGACGTGGGGGCAAAAAAGTTGATCTAAACACCATGGTCCCGGACCCTTTGATACTCCAGAAGGGAATTTGCGGCTGGGAAAGTCATTGTGATTGAACTGTTGGCCGCGATGTGGCAAATGTAACAGGTTAACAGGAAGAAAGAATAGCAAAAAAAGTCCGCCGGAATGAGATTGGAAATGGGGGGGGGGGAATTATCGAGGTATGGATGATGATGATGATGATGATGATGATGATGATGATGATGATGATGATGATATGTACCAGGGAACGGGAAATGATGCGGCAGGTTCAAGGGGGTCAAGGTAGAACATGTATAGATAGAAGAAAGAGAGCCTGAGAGAGACTACACGTGTGTTACTGTGGTGCAGAGGCTAGGGATCGGAGATTGTAAAATAGAAGATAGGCGTCTGCGTTGAGGACGTCTGCTTCGGCCACTGGTGTTACTTGGTCGTCGTTGAAGAGCATCCACTGCTTGTTTTGATTTGGGGTTAGTATTTAGGCGAAGACGCGGATGAGATGGATGAAAGAAGGGGGAAAGGCTTACCTCGTCTCCTTGGCGGCAGTACACGTAATAGTGACCGGAATCCAGCTTGCCCTTGTGCACGACGGCCGATGAGAGGTCATACATGAAGCGTGCTTTGTCAACCTTCGAGTGTGGATTCGTCGTGTACGGCAGCATGTTGATGGAGAGCGGAAATTCAATGCGGCCTTCGAGTTTCTCGGAGACAGAGGCGCTGTGTTCGAATCGCTGGGGGTTTGGGTTAGTCCAGAACTGGGAGGAGTTTGTGAAGCGTGAGAAGTCGTACCTTGAGCTGCATGCATAAAATGGCTGGCAGTTTCTTGATCCGCAACTGCTTGGTTGCCTTTTGAGAGCCCCCGTTGCACTGGCTGCAGTTGTAAACGCCCGCCATGAGCTTCTCCGGGGAGGTGAAACTCTCGAGGCATCCACTCAGCGTTGGGGTCGACGAACCTACCCCACCACCCATGGCTCGTTTCTTCACTTGGACATCGAGACTGAGATCCACCATTGGGTCCTCGGTTTTGGTGACATTGCCACATTTGTCGCATGTCACGCTACTACGGAGCTTACCGTAGAATGTCTTGTGGAAGAAGCAGGGACAACCCTTCTGGTGGTTCTCGTGGTGACCCTCGGTGCTTGCATGAAGTTTATCCACAAGGAATTGGTAGTACTCGTGAGCGTCCTGTTGCTGATAACCGGCTAGTGTCTGTAATGTAGGACGTGTTAGCGGGACTATTGGAATGGAAATCATGAGACACATACGGGACTCGAGCGCCATGATGCCACAAGAAGATTCAAAGCAGTAAACCCTTCAGCCTTGTCGATGCTATTGAAGTCGGCAAATGCTTCAGCAACTGCACAGCCTACACAGTCGGGTATAGTACAGTCATGCGGCTGGTGACCATCTCCAAGAAAATACGTGCTGAGGATTGGATCGTGTAGGAGAGTCTGTAGGATGACATTCAGATAACAGGTCTGGCCCAAGTTGAACAAGCCCCTGACGCCCTGCTTTGCGCAAGGACGTTTGGTGGCATTGCTCCGAATGTATAGCTCATCCGCTGAACTATCGCTAAAGCGACGTTTCTTGGCGACTGTGTGCGAACTTAGCGCCCATAGCAAGGAGTCTGGTGAGCGCGCATGCTTACCTTGTAAGGCGCTTTCTGCTGCGGAGCAGCGCAGTCTTTCCAGCCCATGATCGAAGACAAAGTCGCCGCAGCCTTGACAATAAAGATTGCGAGCCCGGGAATCCATGACTGGGAGGGTTAGTAGTTGGCCGCGCACTCGACGAGGACGACTTACAAAATGAGTGACCCGTCTTATCGGTGTGAGCTTGACGCTCGCTCATCAAGCAGGTTTCTGAGCATGTCAAGCAAGTATACTTGGGCTTCAAGAACCCGTGGGCCTTTGCACGACCGTTCTTGATGAGTCCGTCCACAGGCTTTGGCAAGACCGCCAGGGAATTATGCGCCTTGATGAAGGAGCTCTTGAACTGCTCCGCGGTGTGGGCATCTTGTCCTAGCTGTGTGGCCAAGTGCTCTTTTGTGAAGATATCAGCAATCAATACCATATTTCAGATGATATGTGGTCTAGAGGGTGTACATACCACAGCCGAATTCGGCCTCCGAGAGCAATGAGACCGAGACCACACTGGCCACGGTCGCTACGGTCGCCATGACGGATCCAACGAACGACAGAGGGGGATTTAACAGAGAGGCGCAAGAAAGCCAGACTGGCACAGCCAAGGTAAGGACTCTCTAAATCGAGAGAAGAGGAGAGAGGTGATGCTCAGCAGGTCAACTGCAGATCAGACAGGATCCATGCATTGCAGCACTAGGGAAGGTCTAGGTGTCATCCACATCAGTATTGTCTGTGAATCGGGCCAAGAAACAATAACTGGGTGGTGATTCAACAAATTGTAACACGGATCACAGTACCTTATGGGATCCAATATTGAGACAGTGGGGATACTGAATAGATTAGCTCCGCAATAGAGTAATAGTTGCAAGCAGCAGCAGCCCGTGAGTGACACACTGGAGAGACTCCGCCAGCCACCGGAGGGTTCCGCTGTCGGGGATCGGAAGCGGGTGGATTCAGTCTGGTTGCTTCAGCAATAATCCTTCCCACCACGAACCAGAAGTCCCGAGAGGATTTTAGGATGGATATCACGAGAGAGTAAGACTATCATAAAGCAATGGTCCCGGAGACAGACAATTACAGAACGTCCTGGGTCTCGTTGCTGAGGAGGCGCAAGAAGCAGGTCAGGTCAGATCTTTTTTTCGCAAGGGTCGACCGCGGCTGCTCCGGCGGCGATAAGACGCCGGATCCTCACTTGATCCGGGATCGCCTCCTACACATATAGTAACACATCAGAGTGCAAGAATGCACCCTTTCACATCAAGACCAACTGCCATTCCTCTACAAAAGTCATTCGTCGCAATAGATTGTTGTGTACACTGTCCAGTTTCCCCCAATGCAAATTGAGCATTGAGGAGCTACCTTGAGACTAAGCTACCAACACACAATCTAACACACTGTGTATACTTATTTGGCTGCGCTTGTCAAGCAGTATTGTCTATCCAGCTAGGCCAGCGCAATCTGCCTCGCGGCACCGTCACATCATCTTCATGATGTAGGTCGTCTTCTGTGTGCGGGTCTTTCTCCTCGCTGGACCTGCCAATCGCATGGATAGCAGCCAAGAGCTGCACCCCTGTATGCGCATAGCTTTTTGTGTCATAACTCATGTCGCTTCTCATGCCCTCACAGTTTCTGCCGCTCTCGATCACCGAATACCTCTTCCCCGGGGCAGTGCACTGGGCCGGGATCCTCGGCTAGAGCCTCTTGTAGCATATCGTCCGGTCGTCGAGCCGCGGGTTCCTCTAGTTGCCCCTCTGGCTGTTCCTCTTGTGGTTCCTCTTGTAGTTCCTCTTGTAGTTCCGCGTGAGGCGGCCGGGATTCTTGGCGTGGGCTTGGAAGAGATGATGCTGGGCGGGTTTTCGACAAACGAGGTATCCGTAGTCCTAAGGGTGAAGAATGTATTTAGTATGATCGCGAAAAGGAAAGAAAAGAGGCGGAAACTCCGGGCGACTTACATGAAAGTCATTTCTGCGTCATTAATCGCTTGCACTGCCTCCGCTTCAGCTGCTATTAAGTGTCAATATCTGATATTTCTAAAATGATAAATTGAAGGATGGAGCTGTACCGCTTTGCGACTCCGCTTGCTTTGCCCTCCGGAATGATTCTGAGATCGGTGCCTGTATTGAATGAGCAAATTGGCCATCGTGAAATCCGGGTCGGACTCTCATACCTCTGGAAAATCCACACAGAAGGCATTCATATTCATGCCGTACAAGAAACTGGCGAAGCTTTCGCTGAACCGTGTCAAGCTCTCATGCATCAACTGAAGATGCATGAAGTTGGCTTCTAGATCCGCCATCGAGTCTGCGAGTTCCGCGAATTGGGGTTCCAACGCATTGATGGCGGGTTGTGTATAGCCGGTATGGCCAATACTGCTTCCATATCCATGGGCTTCGCGGAACGAGGAGCGTGAACTGGGTCGCAAGGGAGTCGTGGGTCGAGAAGAGGGCCGAGGGCGCGATGCTGAGCGAGAAAAGGCGTCCATGATGACCGTGGGTGGCTGAAGTGAGATCCGAGGGTTGGAGAAGAGATCAGATGCTTGCGACACTGCGCAGCGCACAATTGAGGCGGGGAGTGAATCGAATATTCAGCTGTCTCGGAAGTTTGTTCCTTGTTCGTCAGGCGAATGTCTTGAACCGGCGTGTTAACTCTGATAGATAGTAGGTTTGTTGACGATTGCAAGGCAAGGTTCGGTGCGGGCGGCGGGCGGGCTGTTGATTCCCCGCTTCGGGAAGGTGCGGTCACTGGACCAATTCGGACTGTGGATCCTGATGCCACATCCATCAGGCCGTCAACCTGATCTCTGCCTGGACCAGGCCCAGGTTAGCGTTCAACTAATTAATGGGATGGGCCCGACTATAATTAGGGATCCTTGGAGGATCCCGAGTCCCCTGGCTAAGCAACGCAAAGGATGAGAACACGAGTGCAAGACTATCTCAGATAGGAAAGCCCGGATAATTCGACCGCAACAACTCTTTTCAGAATCTCATTTCAACCCCCACCCTTAGTTAGTGGCCCCCTCCCCTCTGCGCCCCCCTCCCCCTGGTTCAGCACACCGATCGCAGTTCGGGCCTGACGGACCCTGATCGTTCCAACCGTCACTAAAGCAGCCACTCCTCCTTCCTTTCGCCTCTTGCGCTCTTGCTTCTCTCCTTTCCCCGCATTCCCGGCTCGATTTTTGAGGGTCGGATCATCCTCTCACGTTTCACCTCCAGCTTTGGCACAACAAAGTCGGAAACCTTCAGGAAGAAGCGCTACAGATCGCCAGTCAGATCAGATCTCCTACCCAGACTCAGGAGTCGCCTAAAGAGAAGCACATGCATGCTTGTTCTTTCTTGCGCCGCCGTCTGCTTCGTTCCTCGGCCAATTTGATCCCCTCTGCGCCCGCAAGACTCCATAATCTAGACCGTGCACAGATCCCCAGGTCCTTGTATCGGACTCGAAGCCCTATAACTTGGTCTAACTCACCGAGGGCTTACTCCACTTCTCCATCGCATCAGTACGAACCGAGGAAGGCGTCAACCTTCTGGACGATCACATTCACCCTACTCCTAGTCGGTGCAGGAACCTGGCTACAGGATAAATACTGGACAGTTGACGACGGACTTGTCCCTTCTCCCGATTCCTCAGAACCTCATCAAGAAACAGATTCGCCTTTTCTCGGTATAATCGATACGTTGAAGACCATGCCTATTGAAGCTCAACCCGGAACCGTGGGCAACCTCACACCCGAACAGGAAGCAAAGCTCCAGGAGTTTTGGGTCTTGCTGCTCAAAGTATGTGGCGTGGAAGGCCTCGAGCAGTTGCAACAACAATCCAGCGAAGCACCTTCACCTACCCCCGCCCAGGAAAAGAAGAAGCCTACGAAGCGGCGGTTCGGCCTCTTCGGCAGAGGCGGTGACGATGCTGAAGACGATTCAGCTAGTTCTCAGCCAGCAAGCGACATCTCAACCAGTCTGGCCTCGATCAGCATTACCGATGGAGACGATAAGTACGGACAGTCGAAGGAGTTCCAGCAGGCTCTGGTTGATATGAAACCAGAAGAGATCCGAACCAGTCTATGGAACATGATCAAGCACGACAATCCCGACTCGTTGCTGCTCCGTTTCTTGCGGGCGCGCAAGTGGGATGTCAAGAAGGCACTGATCATGCTAATCTCTACACTCCGATGGAGACTCCAGGAGGTCAAGCTGGACGAAGATATCATGAAGAATGGCGAGCATGGCGCGTTGAAGCAGAGCCAAACCGCTGACCCTGATGGTAAGAAGGCCGGCGAGGACTTCTTGCTACAGTTCCGCATGGGCAAGAGCTTCTTGCATGGTGTTGACAAGTCCGGTCGGCCTATCTGTGTGGTCAGAGTGCGCTTGCACAAAGCAGGAGATCAAGGGGTGGAGGCACTCGATCGGTTTACTGTCTACACCATCGAGACTGCTCGAATGATGCTTGCGCCTCCTGTTGAGACAGCTGTGGGTATTCAAATATTGGCTTTATGAAAACAGACACTGACTTAGACTAGTGCGTTGTTTTCGATATGACCGACTTCTCGCTAAGCAATATGGTAGGTTCATCCCAAATCGTCATCCAATCTTTTCTAAGTTCTTGCAGGACTATCATCCAGTTAAGTACATGATCAAGTGCTTCGAAGCCAACTACCCGGAGTGCTTGGGAGTGGTCTTGATCCACAAGGCTCCCTGGATCTTTTCCGGTTGGTCATTTCCTCGAACTACTTTCAGCTTGCAATATTCTTACCGTGGTTTTACCAGGAATTTGGAATGTCATCAAGGGCTGGCTTGACCCCGTGGTCGCCTCGAAGATCCAGTTTACCAAGAATGTCCAGGACTTGGAGAAGTTCATTCCGAGGGATCAAATTTGGAAAGAGCTCGAGGGTGACGAAAACTGGGCCTACAAGTACGTCGAGGCCGAGCCCGACGAGAACAAGAACCAGGAGGACACTGTCAAGCGCGATGCGATGATCGCTGAGCGACAGCAACTCGCTAAGGAGTTGCAAGGTGCCACGATTGCGTGGATTGCAGCCAGCCAGAAGAAGGATGACTCGGCTTTGAAGACCGCGACTGAGACGAGGAACAGTCTTATTGAGCGGTTGAGAGCTCAGTACTGGGAGCTCGACTCGTATGTCCGGGCTACTTCCCTCTATGATCGACTCAACATCATCCAGGGCGGCGGCAAGATTGAATTCTACCCGGATGCGGTCAAGACGAAGGGAAATGCGCTTCATGAGGCATAGAACCCAGATGGGCGAACTAGCCTACATTACAAAGGTCTGTGTATAAATACATTATTGTTAGAATTTGTTACTCGGTGTGATATGATAGATGTCTCTGTGGGTCCTAATGATGCCTTGTCACGGTATAACGACCTGGAAAGAACACTTCTATATGTGCAATTGAATTGGATCATTTTTTGTCTCTTGAGAGACATTCCCTGATGCAATGACTGTGGATGGTACTAGTATGCTAGAGGCTCGCAAAGTCCAGCCTTTTTAGTGTTTCGGATTACCTTTGTCAATTAGGCTGGCTACCTGGTAATTTGAATTCCATTTGCGAGCTGAGCCCATCATACAACTGGAGAGGATTTCTGTCCATCTTGAAAGCACTTACCACATCGGGCATGCTTTCCACCTGGCCTGGCCCCAAAAATGAGCATCTCTGTCGATCATAGTTCATACGTTGGCCGCAACATGGAACCTGTCCTGAAACCGTCTTAGATTAAGTTGATCGACGGGCCAGAACTCGAGACACTTTGCTTGTGTGTTTCAGATGGTTCCCCCCCTGCAATTGATGAGAAGTCATGTTTGCATTTCCCATGATAGGCAGGTCTACATCGATCAATCCGGTGACATGATTAGTTGATTGATCATATACGGGCCATAGCTACTGTACTACCAGCTCGCGAGAACCGAGTTCCAAAATTGCGATGGCTAAGCACTCTTACAACCACTTTCGACCAACAGTTTCACAATTGACATAGAGCGTAGTGCGGCCGTGCAGTTCTGCGCGAAGCTTGGATGGACACATGTTATACTATCAGACTGCTACCTACAACCCATCTACATTCTAGCCTTGACCTCCTCGTACAGAGCCTTGAGCTTGTCCATGTCCGTCTCCTGAGTGGGCCAATGGATGCCGAGTCCCTCGGTCTCGTTGGGCTTGGGGATCTGCGAGTTATAGTGGTTAATATCGGAAATAGTCCCCTGTGCCTAATGAGAGCGAAGCGAAGAGCTTACCATGTGAAAGTGAACGTGGTCAACGACCTGGTGCGCTATGCGACCGTTGTTCTGGAGGATGTTGAAGTCCGTGGCGCCGACGGCTTGAGCGATCTTCTTCGCTACGGGCTGGATAGTCGATGACATATTAGATGTTTGGGCAAGCAATGGAGATCGTCTGCGAGCGTTCCAGGGGTTACATAGCCAGCGTATGGGTGAGGGGGGTGGGTTGCTGTGCGTCTCCAAGGTCCCCGGAGGGTTGCAGCCCTTTTAAAAAAGGCAGATCTCTTTGCTTTGCGGAACGCCCTTGCGCAGTTCTTCCCCGGTCTCCCCGGTTGCGAGTCTTCAACTTACCAGGAGTTCTTGGAGGTGGTCGTCGGGGATGTCGGTGAGCTTCGCTCCGTGGTACTTGGGGATAACGAGCTGTTTGCATGGATGAACTGGTTAGCGGGTTTACTTTCCTGTTTACATGTGTGTGTGTGTGTGTGTGTGTGATTGAGGATATGAGCTCGAGGAGATACGGGATTGTTGAGAGGAATAGGTAGCATGGCTCCGATGGCTGATGCTTATCTTGTTGGGTTCGTGTGAACGAGACGACGGTGCGGGGTTGATGCTCTTATCATTGGTGATGAGATGTTGGACAAAGATGATAATACTCACCGCGTGGCCCTTGCTAAGGGGCTGGATGTCAAGGAAGGCGAAGACCTTGTCGCTCTCGAAGAGCTTGAACGAAGGGATATCACCTATTGTTCATACCGTCCGTTAGCTAGCTGTTTCAATACAGGTCGTGTCGGAGGAATAACCAGTGTGATTTGATTTTGCACATCGGGATGTAGAGGACAAGTTTACCCTTGATAATCTTGCAGAAGATACAGGCTGCAGACATTTTGCTGTATATGCGCGGGGTGCGAGGCTCGGATTGCGTGGAGTTGTTTGGGAGCAAGAGTCGTGATGACAGAATGCGGGGTCAAGCAAGTCAAGTCTGAAGGCGGAACGCGACGGGGAGGGGGTCGAAAACGAGGAATTGGAGAGAAAAATAAAAAAGAGGGGGTGAAAGCGCAGACCGCGGATCGAACGCTAGTAGGCGATAGAGAAAGGTAACATATAGGATACAATAAGTGCCAACCTCCGAGGAGTGGGACAAACTAGCTCAGAACCCATTTCTTGCCTTTTACCAGAGATGGCCGTGGTTTGCCCAAAAGACTCCTCTTCTCAATCTTTGGACTCTTCCATCGACACAGCTGTCGAATTTATTGTTTTTGTTTTTCTCGGGCATTGGACTTGTCATGGGGGTCTTAACAGGATTCTGACTTTTCCGGAATTTTATAGCCCCTGGAAAGGGTTGTTCTGGGGGGTTGCGGTGCGTGTCGTTTGGTTTTGAGGTCGGTGGGCGTAACGTCCGCTCTAATGGCAGTCGCCGCACTGCGGCTGCCGCCATCATATGAGTACGGCACTCGCTACGCATAGCGCAGCAGTTTTTCTTTCTGTCCATAGAGTTGTTTGGGACAACTTAACCTTCCATCTCAATCACCAACTATCACGCAAGTCCAAACTTTGGCTTAAGTCCAGGTCATCGATTGTCAGGCGTATGCGACTCAAGCCACCGAGAACCTTGCCATGCACTAGGGTCTACCATGTACCCCTCGTACCATGCATGATGGTGTCTTCTATCCTACGCGTCTTTCAGTCCCTCTACGGTCATGCTGACCCATAGAAAACTGGGTGGATCAGATCTGAACGCAGTACGGGGCAGAATTAAGGGCATGGATTCTGTTCTAGTCTTTCAACCTCCATTCGGCAGCACCTGCCTTAGCGGGTTTAAGTCTTTTGACAGCACTGGGTCCTTTACGTGAACTCGATCCCGTACACTAACTTACCACCCAAAAGGCTGTCCTATACGATGGACCTGCCAGAAGGAACCCCAGTCGCTCTCCACTAAGGTGACATAGTCTACATCTGGTCTTTGCCGAGAGGTATCAGCAGACATATGATTCGGCAGGAAGGCCGAGACTGCCATCCCCGCAGCATGGCAGCTCGCTATCTTATCGGCATCCTCTCTTATCAAGACAGTCACTGGACAAAGAGGGGACCCAAGTGCTGAGTACATAAACCCTCCATTGTCGCTCGAGATGCGCAGCATGATTCGCTTCCAGGTCTATACACCGACTCTTGCTAGGCAAGCGAGATTTGCGCTCACACAGCCCACGCTACTCTCGTCGAGGATCATTCGGACAAACCCACGTCGACACTTTTCTGTCTCAAGGACGCAAGCCATGTTGTCTACGGAGCTGACCGAGGCTCAAGTCTCAGCTCTTCGAGCCAATAAAGATCGTCTGGCCAGGGACCTTCACCACAGTTGTCAATGGGGCTCGGGCATTCGATGGGGAGAGTGAGTACCAGATCATCCCTCTGCGAGCACAGTGCTTCGTATTAGCGGTCGCGCGCCGTATGGGATGAGAGCAGCCTACTCCAATCCCATCAAGCAATAGCCATCGATCAGCTTGCGAGCTTGAAAACAACAGAGCTGACCATTTGGAAGTGGCCCCACGGATACAGGAATGCAGCGCCTGGCATTGTCGCAAGAGGACAAGCAAGTGAGGGATTGGTTCATCGAAACGACAAAAGCCCTCAACTGTCGGGTCACCATCGACGAGATGGGGAATATCTTTGCAGTTCGTCCTGGGCGCAGGACAGATGTGCCCCCTGTCTTTATCGGTAGCCATCTGGATACGCAACCGACCGGCGGCCGTTACGATGGAATTTTGGGTGTCCTTTCCGGCATTGAAGCTTTGAAGTCCATGGACGACATGGGTCTCGAGACAGAGGGTGGTGTAGGCGTGGTCAACTGGACTAAGTATGGCAACCGACCTTCCTTCACTTGAAAGGCTTGCGCTGATGAGTACAATAGCGAAGAAGGCGCACGGTTCCCTATCAGCATGATCTCCTCTGGAGTATGGGCTGAATGTATCCCTCTGTCGCAAGCCCACGAGCTCAAGGAAGTCCCAACGGTTGCATCTCTACCCACGGCGTCGTCGGCTCCCGAGACCATGAGATCGGCACTTGAGAAGATCGATTATCTTGGAAGTGTGCCATGTTCGTACAAGCAGACTCCAATGGCTGCTCACTTCGAGCTGCATATCGAACAAGGGCCTCACCTCGAGACTGCAGGCCAGCACGTGGGCGTTGTCACGGCCGTCCAAGCATACCGCTGGTTCCGCCTCACCATTGTCGGCAGAGATACCCATACGGGTACTACCGCTTTTGAACATCGTGCAGATGCATTGTATGCTTTCGCCCAGATGATGGTGCGTGCCCGTGAGGTTGCTTCCTCTCATGGCTGCCTGGCCAGCGTTGGCATCGTGGAGGCCAAGCCCGGCAGCGTGAACACCGTCCCTGGTGTCGTCAGCTTCACTCTGGATATCCGTGGCCCAGAGGATGAATTGGTCAATGTTGTGGAAAAGCAATTGAGGAAGGACTTCGACGCTATCGCAGCGGAAGAAGGTAAACCCATTGGGAAGCCTTGTCGCGTGGAATGGACTCTGGACTTCGATTCGCCTGTGGTGAAGTTCCACCCGGACTGCATCGATTGCGTTCAGCAATCTGCAGAAGCAGTCGTTGCGGATTCTAACTCGACAGACCCCAAGTCTCTGACAAGAACGATCATGAGTGGTGCCGGCCACGACAGTGTCTTTACCTCGAAGAGGGTTCCGACTAGCATGATCTTCGTTCCGTGCAAAGACGGGCTTAGCCATCATCCGGAAGAGTTCTGCTCGGCAGATGATTGTGCAACCGGCGCCTCAGTCATCTTGCAGGCTGTTATCCGCTACGACCGTAAGAGATTCTCCAACTAGTTTATAAAACACCACCTAGACCTCTTATACTGCGTTGAGTCAGAACAAACGGGCATAAGCCATCGTCTGGATCATCGAAACGGTCATTTTACGTATACAAAAAAAGAACAGAAAGTCAAGTCGTGAATCATGCCATTAATCCTAACTATTTCATGGTATCGAGACAGTAAAGCCAGGCACAATCCCTATTTTGTTTTGGGTTGAGAAGTGCGTAGTGCGGCAATTTCTGACTGGACGTCTACTCAAGCCACACTAGCAACATCCCGTGTAGCCCTTGGAAGACCTGCAGGCGACATTCCTCTAGGAGGAGGGAGCACCACGGCCACGGCCGAAGCCACCACGGAAGCTAGGGGCGAACTCGCCGGGGGCACCGCCCTCCTTGTTCTCACCCTGCTCGCGGCGGCGGTAGCCACCCTCACGGGGAGCACGGGGACGGCGCTCGCGCTCCTCACCACCCATCATGCCACGGGGGGGAGCGTGGGAACGCTGCTGCTTGATGTGGGTAGCGGGGACAACCTCAGCGGGGAGGTGGAGCCACTCGCGGAGGTAGTCAAGACCCTGGAAAGGGAAAACACATTAGATCGTGGTTCTTTATGGTTTTGAGGAAGGCAACGAGAGAACATACCTCGGGGGTGAGGGTGTAGTAGTAGTACTGCCACGAGAAGCGGGTCTTGACGTAACCGCGGGAGTCAAGGGACTGGAGGGCCTTGATCACGTAGAGGTTCTTGGTGTCAATGTCGCCATGCTTGGGAAGGTTGAAGTCCTTCTTGGCCACGAGCACACCCTCTGTTGAAAAGATTCGTCAGTAAATGCCATCCTCATTCGTTCGACTCGTCATCAATCCTCCACACATCCACATCAAGACGGCAATGACACAAGGTGGAATAGTGAATCGAAAGACACCAAGTCCATGCGAATATCTATCCTATCTCGAGGGACTTGGAGGACGCGACAAAGGGCGAGAATGATGAATCACATACCGCGGAAGAGGTACTCGTGGATCTTCTTGCGGTCTTCCTTGGGGATAAGCCTGCGAGGGAGGTTTAGTCAGGGTTCAGATCATCATTGACATAGCGCATCGTGAACAAAAGGGGCTATACGCACATTGTTGCGAGTTCCTGGCGCTCTTCGGGGAATCGCTCTAACAACGCGCGAAGAGGGTGGTTTAAGAGTAGTTGATGATGAGTGGAGCGGGCTGCCCGTCGAGTGGAAAAAGTGCGGTGATTCCCAATCGGGATGCGCTTGTAGGGTTGTCGCCCTAATCGATTCCCGCTAGCTTGATAAGGCTATGTCACGTGAAATGTTTGTATCACGTGGTCAGGGGCCTGAGGCCGCGTGGTGGACGGGCAATTAGTCATTGACCCGCTCTTATCGGGGGGAAACTCTCCGCATTGCGTTATTACTTCTAGACCTCCGCTCAGCAAGCAGCGCCTCTCGCCCGGTCAGATCGAACCCTGACTCCACCTTGAGCACCTGTCGCGAAGGCTGAGTTTCTGCTCATCTCATTTTCTTCGCATCGCGGGACCCATATCAGTCTGTTACATATTACGCGCGGCTTAACAAACAAACAACATGGCGCCCCAAAACATCAACGTGCTCCTTTCATCCTTCCCGGGACTCTCACTCCCCTCCACGGTCACTTTCTCGCTATCCTCATCCTCGAGTCTCGCCGATCTCACGGATAAGATCTCCTCATACCTCCCGCCTTCGATCCCACTCCACTCCTTGATCCTGACGACCACGAGCAACAAACAACTCCTCCCCTCCGCCGAACCGCTCCTCCCTTATCTGGCCAGCAGCTCCAATGACGCCACCACCACCACATCCTTCCTTCTCCCCCTCCGACTCAGCGTGCCCCTCTGCGGAGGCAAGGGTGGTTTCGGATCCCAGCTGCGCGCCGCCGGCGGGCGCATGTCGAGCAAGCGCAAGCGCAACCAAGGCGACGACAATGGCTCCAGCCGCAACCTCGACGGCCGGCGGCTCCGCACCGTCAACGAGGCCAAGGCGCTGGCCGAGTACCTGGCACTGAAGCCGGAGATGGACAAGAAGGAAAAGGAGGAGCGCCGCCGCCGGTGGCAGGCCGTCGTGGAGGCGGCGGAGAAGCGGCAGGAGGAGCTGAAGAACGGCGGCGGGAAGCAGAAGATCGACGGCCAGTGGATGGAGGACAAGGAGGAGATGAACGAGAAGGCGCGCGAGGCAGTCCTGATGGCCATGAAGGACGGCATGTGGACGGACAATCTGCGCGATACGATCCTCGGTGGCTCGAGCACGAGTGCCAGTGCCAGTGAGGGCAGTGATCGGGATACTCCATCTTCTGAGGAGGAGAGTGAGGGTGATGATGATGCGAAGGAGGAGGAGATGGTCGATGCGCCTGGTCCGTCAAACACGACTCGCAGCAGTGCGCCTCGGCGTTATATCGGGTTTGATGAAGATGATGAGTTCATGAGTGACTCTGAGGAAGATGAGGCTGAAGATGTCAAGGGAAAGGGAAAAGCGAGGGCTTGAAGAAATATATTGCATGAGGTTCAATGGGTTTTCGTGGCGCATGGTCTGGGCTGAGCATTCACTGTTACTTTACTCTGGTTTTCTAAGATGTTTTCTTGTGCATGATGCTTTCGTGTAACTATGCAATAGCAAAGCAAATGTTGTTTATACCAATTGACGATTATGGTTACGAGGTCTACAAGAAACCTGGAGAGATTCCACTACTAGTAGCAGGTTATCACAAGCCATGCACTCCTGGTTCGCCACAGCAACTTTTTTACGGCCCGCCAAGCGGACCACCGATGCTATCAGTTATCGGTCAACACTATCAAACAAAGTTTCTTGCTGCAACGCCTTTTCGCCGCATTCTCTGCTTGTACAAGTTTCAAAATGCCGCCATATCTCGGGCGCATTGTCCCAAGAGCGACCAAGACATTCCGACTTCCGTCGCAACTCCAGTCCTGCGCCAGACCACTCCCATTGTACCGTCTGACGCGGCCAGAAGTCCTTGCCCGCCGCACGCCCGCAAGCCACTATACCAGCAAAGAGCTACGCAATTACTCCACGGCCGATTCCCCTTCCGCTATCTCCTCGTCGATCTCCCCAGAATCGCTGCCTGTCTGCTGTCCAGGATGCGGGGCGTATGCGCAGACCATTGAGCCCGACGAGCCTGGGTACTACGGCAAAACCAGAAAGCATATACGGAAGCTTGGGCAGGAGGCGCAACAGCTTGTCGCAGCACCGGAAGCTGAGGGGGAGAAGGCGGCAGAAAGAATCCAACAGTATGTCGCGGAAGGAGCTACAGATTGGGGTAGGTCGGTGATCAAACGTGAGTGATATTTCAGTTGCACCTCCTCTCCTCCTCTGCATTGTGGTCTATGCTGACACACGCACGATCCCTCATATAGCGCCGAGTCGTCGTCTTGAGAAAGACGCAGCAGCTGCCGGTGAATACCTCGCGAAGACACAAACGCCCGTGCAGATCTGTGACCGATGCCACGATCTCCTTCACCACAACAAGGCTGTCCCGGCTATCTCACCCTCGATAGACTCCATCCGGGCATACCTGGACGAGTCGCCGCACAAGCATAACCATGTTTACCATCTGGTGGACGCAGCTGACTTTCCCATGTCTCTCATTCCAAACATCTACGAGGCACTGAACATCATGGAACCGCGTTCGCGGAACCGTCGCTCGGCCACCCACCAGTATTCGGGCTCCAAGAGGCTCCCAACCCTTCACATTGTCATCACGAGGTCCGATCTCTTAGCCCCTACGTGGGATCTGGTCAACTCGAAGATGGAGTACATCCGCAAGATGCTCCGTATCCAACTCAATCTGTCGTCCGAAGACTTCCGTCTGGGTCAGGTGCACATGATCAGTGCGCAGCGAGGCTGGTGGACCAAGCAGGTCAAGGAGGAGATCCAGAACCACGTGGGTGGCGTCTGGGTAGTGGGCAAGGCCAATGTCGGCAAAAGTAGTTTCATCGAGGCCTGTTTCCCCAAAGATTCGAAGAATCTGGGGAAGATCGCGGACCTCGTGGAACAACGGGAGATCGAGTCGAAGCGACAGGGCCAGCAGCAGCCAGAGGAGAACCCAAGCCTTCTCGACTCGGACGGCCTCCTGCCCCCTGCACCCCGTGAGGACATGTTCCCTGTGCTCCCCGTGGTCTCTACCCTCGCCGGCACGACCGTCTCCCCGATTCGCATCCCTTTCGGCCGCGGGCGGGGCGAGATGATCGATCTCCCCGGCCTCGAACGCGGCGACCTCACCAACTACGTGCGGCTCGAACACCAGCGCAACCTCATGATGACGAAACGCGTCAAGCCCGAGCGCCTGACCGTCAAACCAGGCCAATCGCTCCTGCTCTGCGGCGGCCTTATCCGCATCACCGCCGTGCGACCCGACGACATCATCCTGGCGGCCTGCTTCGTGCCCTTCGAGACCCACGTCACCCGCACCGACAAGGCCATCGAGATGCAACGCGGCGACCGCCCCTACCCCGGCGATCCGATCCTCCGCGCCGACACCGTGGGCACCTTCGCCTCAGCCGGCCGCATCGACCTTCAGTGGGACGTCACCCGCTCCCACCTCCCCACATCCCTTGCCAAGGCCGTCGCGGACCACGGCAAACCCATCCCCGAGCTCCCCTACCGGGTCATGGCCGCCGACATCCTGATCGAGGGCTGCGGCTGGGTCGAGATCACCGTGCAGACCCGCGCCAAATCGCACCCCCTCGCCGTCGACGTGTACGACGACCTGGAGGACGACCTGCTCGACGATGGCGAGGATGTGGCCTTCTCCCGCACGCCCCAGGTCGAGGTCTTCACCCCCCATGGTCGTCATATCGGATCCCGGCCCCCGTTGGAGTGTTACAAGTACGTCGCCGAGAAACAGGCGGCTGCGAAACGGCAGGCGCGGGGTCGCGGCCGCCAGAGTATTAGCCATCAGAAACGGGTGAAGGGCAGCCGTCGTGCTTCCTCCTCTTAGATCCCCTGTCTCCTTTTCCGTCGGGTCCACCGAGGGTAGATAGGGGCGTGTAAATGTATACTAGGTCGTGCTACCTTGTCATGTTCCGCATAGCGCTTGGTGTTGTTTATTTCTGTCATTGTCTCGTATATAAGATGTGGTGCGAATACCGAAAATCTCTTCTCAATGGGGTTCCCCCTTTTTGGATTTCTAATCTAGCATAAATCAGAGCATCTAGATTTATATTTCCATAATTGCAAATGTTTGTTTCGGGTTTGTTCTCTTCTGGTTCAGGGTTTGTCATTGCTACGATGTTGCGCCGCCTTAGCCTGCTTAACTGTGGCCCATAAATATATATCTCGGCGAACCGAGAACTCTCCACCAGACTACTAACACATCTAAGCAAGACAAGCTAAACAGTAGACTAGGGACCATCTAAGACGTAAAATCATCAACTGTATAATTCTTCTTCTTTTCACATGCCATAATTGCTTCTGTTTCAAGACATCAATCCCTCAAACCGTCTGTCTAACCGGTCCGAAGGCTGGATGGGACGGACCCCCTTCCCTTCCTTCATGCAACCAACTCACATCTAACGAATCTTCGTTGAATTTACTCGATGTTAGCGAAGTGGAAAGAAGGCTGCCCGGGGACGGCGTTCTCAGCGAAGAGGCCCTCCCTCTTCTCCCCACTCCCCAGCACCTCCCCGGTCTTGCCGCCCTCGTCGACGGCGATGATCTCGAGGGCCTTGGCGCCAGTGACGCGGGTGATGGCGCCGCGCATCTCCTGGAGAACGGCGAACTCGTCGAAGGGCAGCTTGCGCTCGAAGACGGTCTCGGGGGCCTCCCGGTTGACGACGAGGCGGCGCTTGAGGGTCTGGACGAAGGGCATGGCCTTCTTCATCTCGCCGAGCTTGCCGACCTTGGCGTTGAGCGCTTTGTCGTCGATGGCGAGGCCGTCGAAGGCCTCGCGCACCAGGTCGATGTACTTCTCCTGCCACTGCGGGTGCTTCTTGGCCGCGTAGATGGACAGCTTCTTGGGCTTGCGCGGGTCGAACGTCACCTGCTTGCCCTTG